TCTTTTATCTTAGTGAGAGTGATTCTCCTAAATTCTTGAGTGATTCAAGAACCCTTGGTCGTATCAAAGGACTTTCACATCCTTTGTGTGTTGCCTCCCTTGGGAAGAGTGATTCTTTCCTTCCACCTTCTTTCAAATTCCTAAATTTCTTACAAGGTTCTAACCCTAAAGATCCTAAATTACCCCTTGTGATTCATATCGCTTGGTATTCGAGCCCCGATTTAAAGGTTTGAACATCAAATTGATGGCAGAGGAGAATAAAAAGAAAATGAGAGAAAAATTTCTTCAAGAAAAGAAAGAAAAAAGAAGAAGAGTGAAACACGTGAAGTGAAACAGAGCTATTTAGCCATAAAAAGTGAGTATAATGTTAGTTCTACATTCAATTTATCGGACTTATCTCTTTTTTATGTAGATGATGAATCCGATTTGAGGACAAATCATTTTCAAGAGGGAGAGAATGATGTGAACATGACCTATGATAAGGGCTAGAGCAAGGGAAACAAAGAAAGCTTTTCAACAAATATTGTTGGTTGGCCAAATTGTGTTTTGGATTAATCAATTAATGGGCTTTAATTTAGTTTTATTGCAAGTTGTAATAAGGGCCCAATTGGAAATTTAGTTATCAGTCTTTGGGAGACCAAGAGGGTGCATAGCTGATTGACTTTTGGATGCCACAATTTCAGCTTATAATCAATCATTAAGTAGTTTTCAATTCTTAGGTTAATAAATCATTATTAGCATTTATTTTCCTTTAATGAATATTTGTAACTCTAATGGCAAAGCTTCTTTATAAGTCTGAACCATTTTTATCGAAATAACAAGTTGAGTTTTATTTTTGGAAATATTAGAGTTTATCTCTTTTATCTTAGTGAGAGTGATTCTCCTAAATTCTTGAGTGATTCAAGAACCCTTGGTCAGTATCAAAGGACTTTCACATCCTTTGTGTGTTGCCTCCCTTGGGAAGAGTGATTCTTTCCTTCCACCTTCTTTCAAATTCCTAAATTTCTTACAAGGTTCTAACCCTAAAGATCCTAAATTACCCCTTGTGATTCATATCAGTTGGTATTCAGAGCCCCGGTTTAAAGGTTTGAACATCAAATTGATGGCAGAGGAAAATAAAAAGAAAATGAGAGAAAAATTTCTTCAAGAAAAGAAAGAAAAAAAGAAGAAGAGTGAAACACGTGAAGTGAAACAGAGCTATTTAGCCATAAAAAGTGAGTATAATGTTAGTTCTACATTCAATTTATCGGACTTATCTCTTTTTATGTAGATGATGAATCCGATTTGAGGACAAATCATTTTCAAGAGGGAGAGAATGATGTGAACATGACCTATGATAAGGGCTAGAGCAAGGGAAACAAAGAAAGCTTTTCAACAAATATTGTTGGTTGGTCAAATTGTGTTTTGGATTAATCAATTAATGGGCTTTAGTTTAGTTTTATTGCAAGTTGTAATAAGGGCCCAATTGGAAATTTAGTTATCAGTCTTTGGGAGACCAAGAGGGTGCATAGCTGATTGACTTTTGGATGCCACAATTTCAGCTTATAATCAATCATTAAGTAGTTTTCAATTCTTAGGTTAATAAATCATTATTAGCATTTATTTTCCTTTAATGAATATTTGTAACTCTAATGGCAAAACTTCTTTATAAGTCTGAACCATTTTTATCGTAAATAACAAGTTGAGTTTTATTTTTGGAAATATTAGAGTTTATCTCTTTTATCTTAGTGAGAGTGATTCTCCTAAATTCTTGAGTGATTCAAGAACCCTTGGTCGTATCAAAGGACTTTCACATCCTTTGTGTGTTGCCTCCCTTGGGAAGAGTGATTCTTTCCTTCCACCTTCTTTCAAATTCCTAAATTTCTTACAAGGTTCTAACCCTAAAGATCCTAAATTACCCCTCGTGATTCATATCAGTTGGTATTCGAGCCCCGGTTTAAAGGTTTGAACATCAAATTGATGGCGAGAGGAGAATAAAAAGAAAATGAGAGAAAAATTTCTTCAAGAAAAGAAAGAAAAAAGAAGAAGAGTGAAACACGTGAAGTGAAACAGAGCTATTTAGCCATAAAAAGTGAGTATAATGTTAGTTCTACATTCAATTTATCGACTTATCTCTTTTTATGTAGATGATGAATCCGATTTGAGGACAAATCATTTTCAAGATGGAGAGAATGATGTGAACATGACCTATGATAAGGGCTAGAGCAAGGGAAACAAAGAAAGCTTTTCAACAAATATTGTTGGTTGGCCAAATTGTGTTTTGGATTAATCAATTAATGGGCTTTAGTTTTGTTTTATTGCAAGTTATAATAAGGGCCCAATTGGAAATTTAGTTATCAGTCTTTGGGAGACCAAGAGGGTGCATAGCTGATTGACTTTTGGATGCCACAATTTCAGCTTATAATCAATCATTAAGTAGTTTTCAATTCTTAGGTTAATAAATCATTATTAGCATTTATTTTCCTTTAATGAATATTTGTAACTCTAATGGCAAAGCTTCTTTATAAGCTGAACCATTTTTATCGAAATAACAAGTTGAGTTTTATTTTTGGAAATATTAGAGTTTATCTCTTTTATCTTAGTGAGAGTGATTCTCCTAAATTCTTGAGTGATTCAAGAACCCTTGGTCAGTATCAAAGGACTTTCACATCCTTTGTGTGTTGCCTCCCTTGGGAAGAGTGATTCTTTCCTTCCACCTTCTTTCAAATTCCTAAATTTCTTACAAGGTTCTAACCCTAAAGATCCTAAATTACCCCTTGTGATTCATATCAGCTTGGTATTCAGAGCCCTGTTTAAAGGTTTGAACATCAAATTGATGGCAGAGGAGAATAAAAAGAAAATGAGAGAAAAATTTCTTCAAGAAAAGAAAGAAAAAAGAAGAAGAGTGAAACACGTGAAGTGAAACATAGCTATTTAGCCATAAAAAGTGAGTATAATGTTAGTTCTACATTCAATTTATCGGACTTATCTCTTTTTTATGTAGATGATGAATCCGATTTGAGGACAAATCATTTTCAAGAGGGAGAGAATGATGTGAACATGACCTATGATAAGTGGCTGAGAGCAATCTCTTGTGGATATCAAGAGAGAGTGCTTTCAACAAATATTGGTGTGGGCTAGAATTGTGTTTAGATTAATCAATTAAGTGGAGCTCTTAGTTTAGTTTTATTGCAAGTTGTAATAAGGGCCCAATTGGAAATTTAGTTATTCATCTCTTGGGATTTCAAGAGAGGTGCATATCTGATTGACTTTGATGCCACAATTCGATTTATAATCAATCATTAAGTAGTTTTCAATTTTAGGTTAATAAATCATTATTAGCATTTATCTTCCTTTAATGAATGATTAGTAACTCTGATGGCAAAGCTTCTTTATGATCCGAACCATTTGTATCGAAACTAACAAGTGTAAGCTTCTTACTCTTCTCTGGAAATATTACGAGTTTATCTCTTTTATCTGTAAAAGTTGAGTGAAAATTTTGAAAACCTAATTTTCATTAAGAAACCAATTCACCCCCCCTCTTGGTTTTTGTCCGACCACGCGAACATTCCGCTGCGCGATTCTAACAATGGAAGCTTCATCTCTCCATTTAGTATATGAAATGTGGGACTCAATGATTGAAAATGTGAGAAAGGTCATTTATCGATATGAAAGAAAGGCGAAAAGAGAAGAATCAAGCTTTTATAGTATTGTGCACTCCATATTAATTAAACGTTGGACAAAGAGTAACACACCTCTCCATTGTTTAGTACATTCTTTAAATCCAAGATAATATTTTATATTCTTAAATAAGATTTTATTTACGTTTTTATAGGTTATTATAATCATGATTTTTATTTATAATGTAGATATTATAGTCTTGAATTGCTAAGTGAAGATTATAATAGAGTTCCTCCACATCAAGATATGGAACTTACTTGTAAAAGGGTAAAATGTTTTAAACGATATTTTGTTAATGTGGATATGAGGAGTCAAGTAAATGTAGAGTTGTCAAATTTTTCAGATGAAAGAGAAGGTTTTGATGACATTGATTCATTAAGTGATAGGGGTAAGATGGATGCAAAATCTTGGTGGCTTGTTCATGGTGCTGATGCTCCAATACTTCAAAAGATTGCTCTTAAACTACTTGGGCAACCATGTTCTTCTTCATGTTGTGAAAGAAATTAGAGCACTTACTCTCTCATACATTCTATGAAAAGAAACAAGATGACACCATATAGGGTGGAAGATCTAGTATTTGTTCATAACAACCTTTGTCTTCTTTCAAGGAATTCTCCACAATGTAACCAAGAGGAAACAAAAATGTGGGACATAGCAGGAGATGCATTTGGATAACTAGATAGAGTGGAATGCTTAAGTTACTAATTTATCACTTGATGAACTGGAGCTAGAGAGTGTATTTTTCAATGATGATGATAATGGAGGCTACTGTCTTTAATAGATTTGATTCATCTTCTTATTTTAGAACTTTCTTTTTGTAAAAAGACAAAGTTCTTACATTGTGAAATAGTGCTTCTTACTAATTTTTTGGTTAGGATATTGTATGAAAATTGTAAAGTCTAGCAACTTTGTCTTGAGAAGATGAATGAACAAATTTTTAATTTATATTTTTCTCATTTGAATCATATTTAAATTTCTATTCATGTCTAATATATATAAGGTGTCTCGATGTCCTATATTTTAGAACTTCACCGTGTCTCGATGTCCGTGTTTGAGTCGATGCTTTATTACTAGTAGTTCTTCCATGAACCGTCATTCACTCTAACGAGATAAACTTACCTAATTCAACCTGTCGTGAAGACTTTCGATACAAAGATCATTTTGATCTAGTGTTGACTCTAACACCACTTTTTAGGTCTTTTGAGAGGATACAAATTCATCAATAAGACATGAGTCCAACCTATATATAAAAATTAAACATTAATACATTTAGTTAGTTATAGCTCATACTTCCCGTATATATTATCATCTCTCACATTCTTCAACAAAACGGCGTTAGAATGATTCCCAACAATCAATTCAGATTGCATAATGAGCAAGGACCTTCCAAGAAACTTCATTCATCCTATCTATCTAAATCTATAGTTGCTTTGGTCAACGGTCACTGCCTATCCGCGTAAGACTTTTTTTGTTTTTTCTTAAAGCAAAATATAAGGAGGGCGTAATTTAAGCACAACATGGACGTAACGTAGTAGTAATAAATTATCCCCTTCTCTTCTTGTACCATCAATCACTATCATATCTCCACTTTTGTTCGGTAAACACTTCCCCTTTGTAATGGCAACACAAGCTGAGGAAGAGTGGGTTGGTTTTACCTACGATGTTTCCTCAGTTTTAGAGGCGAAGACACAAGGCTCACATTTATAGGGCATCTTCGTAAAGAGTTGTGCAGGAGGGGGATTAACACTTGTATTGATGACAACAACATGGGGATAGGGGAGAGTCTTTCACTTGCTCTGTCCAAGGCCATTGAAGAATCCAATATTTTCATCGTTGTTTTTTCTCAGAACTATGCATCTTCCACATGGTGCCTTGATGAACTTGTTAAGATCCTAGAACGGTCCAAGATGAGGGAGAAGAAACAAGTTGTTTTGCCAGTGTTTTACCATGTGGATCCCTCAGATATTCGACACGAGAGGAATAATTACGAGAAACACATGATGGCACACGAAAATGAGTTTGGCAAAGACTCACAGAAAGTTCAAGCTTGGAGATCAGCTTTGTTTGAAGCCAGTAACTTCCCGGGCCACCATATTACCACCGGGTATTACCAACAAAACTATTCCTTTCCTATATTTTTAATTCATGTAATTCTATGTTAAATTATATAATTAGCATTCATAACACATAAGTATTATTAAGACTTAATTACATTTTTTATTTTTGAAGTATCATAATTATGCGACTTTTATCTCTCTAGTTTCAATTATGCAAAAGAGGTTCTTTAGTCCTCACAATTATTGTATTTGTTGCTATGTATCTCTCTAGTTTCATACTATATAATCACTGCCTAATAATATGGCAAATTATGCCTCGTGCTCTGCAGCAGCCACAAGTATGAAATCAATTTGATTGAAGACATTGTTGAGAAGGTATATAAAAATATAGCTCCCAAACCTTTGCATATTGGTCAAAACACTATTGGTCTTAACCCCTACATAGAAGAGGTAAAGACTCTTCTAGATATGAATCCTGGTGATGAAACAGTACGCATGTTAGGCATATATGGACTTGGGGGAATAGGAAAAACGGAGCTTGCCAAAGCTTTGTATGACAAGATTGTGCAACACTTTGATGCCGCAAGTTTTCTAGCCGATGTTAGAGAGAAATCAAACAGAATCAATGGCTTGGAAGATTTACAGAAGACACTTCTATTAGAGATGTTGGAGGAGTTACAAACTGAATTAGGCAGTACAAGGAAAGGAATGTATGAAATAAAACGCAAGCTTCATCAGAAGAAGGTTCTTCTAGTTCTTGATGATGTTGATGACAAAAACGAGTTGGAAAAGTTGGCAGGAGGATGCGATTGGTTTGGTTCCGGTAGTAGGATCATTATAACAACAAGGGACAAAGATGTGCTAATTGCCCATCAAGTTGAAAAGATTTATGAAATGAAAGAACTTGATGAGCAGCATTCTCTAGAACTCTTTTGTTGGAATGCCTTCAAACAAAGTTATCCTAAAATAGGCTTTGAAGATGTTTCTTGGCGGGCTGTAAAGGTTGCCAAGTGTCTTCCATTGGCTTTAAAAGTGATAGGCTGTGATCTGGTTACTTTTCATAGAGAAAGTTTAGATGCTTGGGAAAGTGTATTGAAAGGATATGAGAGACATTGTCCAAATGAAAAGATTCAAAATGTTCTCAGAATAAGCTATGATAGACTTGGTTACAATGCCAAACAAGTTTTCCTCGACATAGCTTGCTTCTTCAAAGGGGAGAGAATAGAATATGTTGAAAAGATACTTGAGGAATTTGATTCAACATCTAACATTATTGTACTACGTAATAAATCTCTCGTAACTGTGGAGGATGGCTACTTGAAGATGCATGATCTAATACAAGATATGGGTAGAGAGATTGTTAGACAGGAAGCACCAAATCCTGGCGAACGTAGCAGACTATGGGAATATGAAGATGTTATTGAAATACTAGATGAAGATTCTGTAAGAATTTTTACTGTTTTGTTTTTCAGTTTGTACATTATATTTTATTATTGTTAAAGACAATATAAGTAATTCAACTTACTTGTATGTTCTGTTTTTTTCAAAGGGAAGTAATAAGATTCAAGGGATAATGCTTAATCCACCTCAGCAAGAAGAAGTAGATTGGAGTGGTGATGAGTTTGAAAAAATGAAATGGCTTAGAATTCTTATTGTTCGAAACACTTCCTTTTTAGTTGCGCCTAAACATCTGCCAAATCACTTGAGGGTGCTTGACTGGGAAGAATATCCTTCAAAGTGTTTCCCATCAAAATTCCATCCGAAGAAAATCGTTGTTTTCAATTTGCATAAAAGTCATTTAACATTTGAAGAGCCATTTAAGGTACTATTACAGAGCAACTTTCGTATCCTTTACGTTTCATTTTTCATTTTACATGGCTTCATTATCATTTTATTGAACTTTTATCATTTTTGCAGAAATTTTCATATCTGACTAGCATGAATTTCTCATATAACCAATCTATCATTGAAATTCCTGATGTGTCTGAAGTTCAAAATCTAAGAGAACTGAGACTTGATCATTGTAGAAACCTAATTGTACTTCATGAATCCGTTGGGTTTCTCAAAAGGCTTTCCCATTTAAGTGCTTCAAAATGCTCCAAGCTTAGAAGTTTCCTCCAAAGAATGTTTTTACCGTCTCTAGAAGTCCTTGACCTTAATTTATGTGTAAGGCTTGAATACTTCCCGGAGATAGTGAAGGAAATGAACAAGTCATTGAAGATTTATATGACAAATACAGCTATTGAGGAGCTACCATATTCCATTGGTAATCTTACAGGACTTGTTTGCATGGAGATACCAAGTAACAAAAAACTTAGATATCTACCAAGTAGCTTATTCATGTTACCAAATGTTGTTACCTTTAAAATTGGACCATGTTCTCGGCTTCAAAAGTCCTTCAAAAGTCTCTTTCAGATCCCTTTAGCAGCCAATGTTCATCCAACATTACGAACATTACACTTCCAAGATGGTGGTTTGTCAGATGAAGATCTTTTTGCAATTCTCAACTATTTTCCGAAATTAGAAGAGCTAATTGTTTCAAATAACAATTTTGTCTCTCTCCCTGCATGCATTAAGGAATGTGTCCACTTAACAAGTCTCGATGTCAGCTATTGCACAAAGCTTCGAAAGATTCCTGAATGCAATAACTTGAAAATTCTTGATATTGATTGCTGTGTTAATCTTAAGGAAATTTCAAAGCTGCCATCCACTATTCAGAAAGTATATGCAAAATGTTGCTTCTCCTTGATTCAAGAGACAGCAGACATGCTATGGTTTCAGGTATCAACAATTCATTTCTTCATCTAAATCTTATATCTTGTTTTATGAAACATTATTTCTCTTATACATGTGGTACATTATTTTCGTCAAATTAATCTTGATTTAACATTTAATTAATTCTTTTATATTATTATAGGCCGCAAAAGGAATGCGAGAATTAGAAGTTTTGATGCCTCACACCAAGATACAAGAATGGTTTGATTGGGTTTCTTATGGAGGGAGTCCTTGTTTATGGGCTCGTGGCAAGTTCCCTATCTTTGCTCTAGCTTTGATCTTCGAGGATGCGGTTGGATCACCGCCGAGACAAAATCATTACCCTCAACATGTTGAGCTCCACCTAGTTATCAACGGTCGATGTGTCCCCTGCAAAAGTTATTACAACTTCAAAATTCATCCACATCACGTGTTAATCTGTGACGTACGAATATTAGTCGGTGACCAGGAATGGCTTGGGCTTGATGCATTGTTTCTCGAGCATGACTGGAATCTGGTGCAGGTTTCATACGATACCACGTCCAACTTTTTCCTAAGTTCTTGGGGAGTTTGTGTGTTTCAAGAAGGAACCAACATGGAAGATGTTCAATTCCTGTGTCCCGACCCCAAGTACTTGGACATGTCACAGAAGACAGTAGTTCCTACAAAAGATCCTGCCCAGGAACGAAAACAGATGATACAGAATTTATGTCTAGACCAGAAGGTTCATCAGATGTTGGTTGATTTGTTAGCCTACTATGAAAATAGAAACGATTTGGCACAACATTCTGACTTTTCATTTAGAATAGAGAGATTGTATAGTGCAATTGGAATTGCAAAGGAGATATCTAAGCAGACTAAGGCTGAACTAGAATCCAGAGGATCAGCTTCAGAAGATGAAAAACACTCCCTCGTGAAGTCTTTTGCACATGAATTGGCTGCAATGGTAGTTGGAGAAGCTTTAATCTCTGGCCATCAGGGCAGAGAGGAGGAGCAAAGAAACGATTCTCACCAAGAAGAAATAAGGAGGAGAAGATTGTATGATGGAATAACGGATGGACTTGTTGAAGCACGGAAGAGCTTTCCTTCTCTAGATATTATCAAAACCAGAAGCGTTGCCTTAAACAAGGTTAGTAGGGTTGTATGGATGTTCATACAACCCCAAGAAACGGAGTTATACATTGAAGGAATCGTCAATGGACTCCTTGAAGCAAGGATGAGCTTTCCTGGTTTGGACATGTGGGGAACACTGCATGACATGTTATATAGGAGAGGCATGGAAACCCTCCATGATATAATTTGTCCTTTGATAGATCTAAGAGTAATTGATGAGGAAGTGAAGGCACCACTGGGTGTTGTAGGAGAAGCAGCTTCAACCTCTGACTATCAGGGAAGTGATCCTCAGCAGCAAAAACTAATAATGACTACAATATTTAACAATGGAATGATGGATGGACTTTTTGAAGCTCAGAAAAGTTTTCCTTCTCTAGATATTGTTAAGACCAGAAGTGCTTCCTTGAATAGGGATGTTTGGATTGAATTATTACCCGACGGGAAGGTGGTACTACCCACGGTTGAAATGAGGATATACACCACTGGAATTCTGAATGCAGTCCTTGAAGCAAAGCTCAGTTTTCCTGGTTTGAACGAACGGGAGAAACTAAATGCCGTGCTAAGTAGTATAGGTGAACCACCGATATCTCAATCTGCACGCCTCTGTGTTGGCTCCAGGAAAGATGGCATACTGTGGCAGATACTTAATCCCTCCCAACCTGATGCTGCAACCACCATTTTCCAAGGTAATTTGATTTTACCCTAATCTTTAAAGCTTATAGTTTGGTTTAATTCATCTGTTCAACTCAACATTTCTGTCGTGTCATTTTTGTTTGCTCTTGTATTTATATATATGTATTTATTAGAGTTTGTTTTGTGTTTGTTGATACAATAGTTATTCATGGATATTTATTCAAATTTGATTTGATGTACCAATTGTGAATACAATGAGAAAAACCATTCACTGTTCATCCTAAGCTTGTATTAGATTTTGTTACCATTAAAGGTAATCCAAAATTAATTTCATGTATACGCTTTATATTAAAAAAATATGCATGCTATGGTCACTAGTGAAAAACCGAATGAGCTCTATATACTATTTTTCTGAGGTACTCATTATCACAGAGCATGAGAGGTAATGATTCTAATGTATTTTAGGCTTGGCAATGCAAGATGATAGTTGTCCTCTCAATATGAATGCATGGGAAAGCTTTAAGTTCAATAATATTCATCATGTATATTCTTTTTTTCTTTGTGGTTATGTATGCTCCAACCCCATTTTGTTGTGAATGCTTTTACTGGTATATAAGCTGACTCTGATACTCTTTTTCTTCATACATCTCTTAGGGTATATGGATTTCCAGAGAAGGCAGAAAGATACATGATCACATCTCTCATATATACATAGTTTGTGTTACATTTTGTTAATTTATGCAGGGACTCTAATGTTCCAGGATTTTCTTCATTAACTGTTATATTTATTTCAAATTGCAGGATAAAAGTTTTCTTCTGCTATTTTCTTCATTTTGTTTACTATTCAAACCAATGTACACATTTTTTATTTTGTCAAACACGTGTTGAAGTAAAATATGAATGAATCGCATGGCAAGTGTCGTTTTGTGTGATGGAACAGGAGGGATGGTAGTGTGGTATGGTCAGAAAGGGAGAGAAAAATGTGGGAAGAAAATGGGGTCATATAAGCTCCATAATCAAAATCAACCACACTCTTTTAATATCAAGATACCCAGTAAAGTATTTTTGCTTTGACCCAAGTCAATAAGTGCTCTTATACGTAACCTTTTTATTAGAATCAAACTATGAAAAACTCATATTTAAAAAAAACAAAAACAAAAAAGAGCTAGCATAATCAAAAGACACAGCGACACAAAACTTGTTCTTGAAACCATCTCTATAGTTTGTATAATATCCTGAAAAAGTCACCTAGTTAGGCAAATATGCATAATATTTTATATAAATTAGGAGGATTATTTGAATATTTGCTATAATTTTCACAATTATGTTAAAGTTGAGATTCCTAAGACCTAAAAGTATTTCAAACATTTCGTCCATTAAGGTAAGGATCAACTATAACTTCCTACTATAACACATGTTTTATCTAGTTTAGTATCGTTGTAATGTTATCATATTTGAAGTAAAAAACTAATAATAAATTATATAAACTGGTTAATGTAGAAAAAATGCATTATTAATAAAAAATATGTAAGAATAGAAACATTCTTATCTTGCGGTAATATCAAATTAAAAAAAATATATTAATAAATAAATTAGAGATTCCAAATTGAAAATTGTAAAAATATATTTTTTCATATCATAATTCGATGATCGATATGTACCAAAATTTATTAACGAGACTTTTTTTATACATTTTAATGATAAATGAATAATTTAGAGTTTAACTAATATAATATGCATTGACTATATAAAAAAATATATATTAGCGGCCAATAAAAATAAAAAAGTTTAATCAACATTACTTTTTACAGCATATTTTTCTACATTATGAATATATTGTAATTAAAGCAATATTTGTTATTAAAATATTAAATATAATACATTTTATAAAATTATTTTAGTTCGGATTCGTCCTTGTTTTGAGAAACACGAGATCGCGTTATCATTTGACCGCTTCTATTTTCATTTTTTCATGGAATATCAAATTAGATATTGTAATGTAAATATATATAACAATTTGATTTTTCAATTCATATTTAAAAATTTCATTTAAAAAATATTTCACAGTATAAAATCAACATCAATAGTCTATATAAATTGTATTACAAAATTAATACGTAGTTTCGGTCGCAAAAAGTTTCTTTGAAAAATTGACCACGGGTCAGTCTCGTGCATTATAAATAATAAAAATAAAAATAATTCTCTTACTTAACATATACTCTTTATTTGATGAAAATAAATTAACATTATCTTACAAAAATTGAAATTTGTATGGTATAAATTTTAAGATGTATTAATAAAAATAGTAGATAATAAGAATAAAGTACAAAATATGAAATGTTAAAAGAAATAAGGAAAATTTTTGTAGAAAATTCTTCGATAATCAAGTTAGTAATAATGTATATCTTGAAAATAAGTATTTATTTGATTTAATATTCAAACAATAAATTATAGTACTGTTTAGTTATAATAATTATATATTATATATTATGATTATTGAATTGATATATATTTAAAATGATTTATATAAAAAAAACTATTTATGTCACATATTTAACCTCAAAATTTGAATAGATAAAAAATATATATATATATATATATATATATATATAACTGTGAATTAAATCTAAATTTAAGAGTTTATTTTACTCATCCAGCATAGGGAATTAAGATTGTCTTTATTGTTAACCAAGGTTTTTTTTTTTTTTTTGAGAGAATTTACTTTTTATGTGAGTGGAGATGCTTAAAAAAGACTTCATATTTAAGTTAAATGAAAAATAAGGATAAGACAATACATATATATTTAATGAATAATATATATTTTAGGATATAACGTGTCTAATATGAACTCAATCATCTAGTATTTATTCTCTCCGAATATTAATTATCTACTAATCCCAAATCTAAGGAAGTTTAAGTTATGAATAGCCTTTTAATATTTGTGTAAAACAATTATTTATTTAAAAACCCATCAAACACAAATTAAATACATAAAATATATCAATTATCATGTTTTGCATTTTTTTTAATCATTATGTCATTATATTTTAATCATTAACGAGAGATGAACTAAAGTATAACAACATCTGTAGGCCAAAAAACAAATTCATCTCATGAGTATTATTATTATCAATATTATTATTATTATTTAATAATGTTAATTAAGTGTGTTGAGTTAATTTTATAAAATCTGTAACTAAATTTTTAAGAAGTAAAACCTTTTTTGTTTGAGAAGGATCCACAATCATGAAATTATTGAGATTTCAAATGTTAGCACACCAAATCAAATGTTCTTGTCACTTTCAGATGCTCCTTTTTTTCTCTCCATTTGGGTAGGTTGTACTTACCTGGTGTACTTTCAAGGACAAAAAAAGGTGATGAATTTATTTGCATGCATTGTTTGCAACTGGCAAATCAATTTTAACTAATTTTCAATTATGCTAAAAGATAATAAGCAAATTTAAACATTTTTCAATCTTGTAGAATGGTATAAAAATACGTATTCACTTTATGAAATATTCAAGAAAAAAAACTATACTCTAATTAAAAATCAAACTTTATATAATAAGATATTATAAATGAATATTCAGCAAATAAATTATTTGGCTCTCTATGACATGTGTTACATAAGCAAATTAGGTAATCAGTGATGAAGGTCAAAAATGCGACGTTAGAAAGATTTCGTTTAGCAATTGTGCATATTTTTATCATCACGTAACTCATGTTGAATTGTTGATTCTATCGATTCATTTGAGAAGAAAAAAAAAACATCTCCATTGTTAAATTTTTCAGACACGTGTTTGATTTTTCGCATAAATCATATGATATTTCATTTTAATGTTGAGCTTTAGATAGTCTCAATACTATTTCTTCATCTATTTTTGCTTTATTATTATTATTATTATTATTATTATTATTATTTATTTTAGAGTCTGTATAAGAATATATCACTAATTTAAAGCATCATTAAAAGTGTCTTTTAAAAAAAAAAACTTTGAATACATTACATCATGCTTAGGTTATATAGACAATATTTTATTAATGTATGGTTAAAATAAATAAAAACAAATATATTTTTAAAGTAAATATTATAATTTAAGAATATTAGAAAACTAATTAGTATGTATCATTATCAATATTCTATGCAGTAAAAAGAGAAAAATAAGAAAAAAATTATAAAGTGTGTTTTACATGTGGAAGAAAGAAAGAAAAATATATATAATGAAATATAATTTAAATAAAAAATATTAAAAAATTTAATAAATATTTCAAAAATAAAAAATATAAAAATATTAGGAGTTAGAAAGTTATATGTTAAAAAACGTTACATGAAGTAACATCTTTTGAGATTTCTGTATTATTATAAATACATATGCACATGTGTAAATTAATTAAAAAAATAGATGAAATTACGAATATGATTGATAAAAATAATTAATAATATCTTATACTTTGAAAAGTATTATTTATTTTTTTCATAAATGTCACGCTTACGAAAAAGGATGGAGTACAATGTAATGAAACACTAAGGAATAGCAATAGTCTTTGGTTCTTTTGATCAACTAACTACAGAAACCAACAATTAAAGGTGACATCACCCAGAGTCACACCAGAACAAACTTTTGAGTGAGGTCATGTATAAGGATAAAAAAACGAGAAGGGACCAAGAAAATGCATCTATAATTTCTGGTATCGTATAGCAAAGAAGAACATTTCTGATTAGAATTAATGGGTTCAGGAAAAGTATGAAAATAAAAGCATCATCCTTTGCAAATTTCTGAGTTGTGGGTTGATTTCCATGAGATTATGACAACATGTCTTTTAAAAAGGAAGAATTGAACGTGGAGAGTTATTAATTCGAAGATATTCAGAGATTAGAAGTGGAGATTGATTTTGGGGGATCATAATTCCAGGAACGAATAATCTAATTGCTAAAGTTAGCATTCGAAAATTCTCTACAGAAAAATAATGACTTTGAAACCTCTTTAGACTTTTTCCCTTCTTAATTACAAATATCTGTTCCATTCCAATCGATAGTCAAAGTTGTGCCCACTCTGGTGGACTTTACTCTCTTGTTGCCTTCAAAGCTAACATCTATTCAAAATTCTTTTCATTGCCATTTCACCATCCTCCAATAATTCACCTTCGGTGAAACCGTGATTTTGTTCTTGAGAAAGCACTTGACATATTAAAAGAGTAAATTATATAAACTGATACCAGATTTTTAGATGTCCTGAAACAAAATTCAGATACCATTTTCCTGTCATTTGTCCCTTTGGTGTGGCCTGTGAGACCCTTGAATAAATTGATACAGGTAGGTATCATGAGGTCAAAAACTTGTAAGCTTTAATTTTATTTTTAAGACATATCCACACACTCTATAATGGAAATATTTGACTTGACTGCAGCACCCTATATTCAATTTACACAATGAGGTCACAGAAATTAATATAAATACATAGAAAGGAGGAAAATAGTTTGCAGGTTGTAAGAAGGTTCCCAAGTTTGAAGTGTTACACAGACTAATAATGGATGTGGCCAAGTTACATAACTCTGATGATAATGAGGACAAGAAAGAAGATGAAGTTGTGCTTCCTGGATTTAGATTCCATCCAACAGATGAAGAACTTGTGGGGTTTTATCTGACTCGAAAGGTGGAGAAGAAACCTCTCAGAATTGAACTCATCAAACAGATTGACATCTACAAATATGATCCTTGGGATCTTCCAAGTAAGATCACCTTCCTCTTAACCAATCTAGTATAATATATGGTTTTAATTACTGAAACTGAAAAGTTTTTTTAATGAATTTCTTGGAGTTTGGTTTCGATTCTGCATAATTCAATAATCAAGGACTATAGATTCTGTTTTATCCTCCCAAGTGTTTGATAGTTAGCTCTTACCATGGTTTTCATGAGAAGATCTAGAAACTGAAGCTTGAATATTAATGTGTTAGCTAGCTTTGGTAGATACATATACATGAATTTATCATTTTATATGTTAATGGTAGTGAGAAATTGATTCTATGAATTGTGTGGTGGTAAATGATGTATGAAGAAGCAAGTTCAGTGGGGGAGAAGGAATGGTACTTTTTCTGCATAAGAGGGAGAAAGTATCGGAACAGCATAAGGCCAAATAGAGTAACAGGGTCTGGATTTTGGAAAGCCACAGGGATTGATAAGCCTATATACAGTGTTAAAGAACCCCATGAATGCATCGGTCTGAAGAAATCATTGGTGTATTACCGTGGAAGTGCTGGAAAAGGCACCAAAACTGACTGGATGATGCACGAGTTTCGCCTCCCACCCAATGGAAATTCCACCATTAATCCAACACCTGATCATCTTCAAGAAGCTGTAAGTCAATTATATGTCATCACTCATGTTTACATTACATTCACATATATTTCCTTCAAATTTAAAATTATCTCATGATGGTGAAAAGAAAACGTGAGAGACTTGTAATTGAAAACATCTCAGTGAATGTTATTGTAATTTATTCTAATTACAATTCATTTTCTGATACAAACTAAAATACTTAATAAATACAAAATTTTAACTAAGACTAATAGAATAATTAATTCGAGAATAAATTTAAAAATAACTGTTTATCTCTTTAATTAATTATTAATTTATTCATAATACAAGAAGTTTACAGTTAGTCTGAAATAAAGTGGAATGAAGGAAGGAGTTATAAGACTGCGTCTTATGTTAATCTTTTTGTGTTGCATTGAAAAAAAAAAAGAACAAAAGAAATGTTAAATTAATAAACCCATCTAGAAGAACCTTTTAAGTAAAGACAAATATGAGGTAACATATTCAAACGACCACAACAGTTTCTGAGATTCGGGTTTGAAGCTTGTTCATATTCAAGAAGACCGAACAAACAATCGTAACTCCATAATATTATTCTAAAGTCCCAACCACGTTTGTTGGACCCAAAAAGGAGAATTATTCATGGATTAAGACACACAAACCAACGTGTTTACTAAATAATAACATCAATTAAGCTAAGAAAGAAACACACTCAAATAATAATTGCGTTGTATCAAATACGTAACCATGTTTTATGAATTATTATTTTAATCTTGGGGCCAAACAAAGAAAAACACACCAACATTGTATTTACTTCATTGCCTTGCTTTATCAATTTACTTAACATGGTTCAAGAATTTGCATTATATGACATGTGTGTTTGGTATGGAGTTTTAAAATGGATGACATAGAACTTGATTTTGTGGCACCCACTTAATGCAATGGACCAAGTCAACCCTGCAATTTAATGTTTGGTTTTTATTGTGTGTGTGTGTGTGTTCGCAGGAAGTGTGGACGCTATGCAGAATATTCAAACGAGTCCCATCTTACAAGAAGTACACACCAAATTTGAAAGACTCAGCAACAATCACGAAACCGAACCCCACAAACTCTTCAAGTTCCAAAACATGCAGCTTAGAATCTGACAACAGCAAGCCATACTTGACTTTCACAAACTCACCATCATCGCTGCTCCTTCATCAAAACGACCACCAACATAACCACATACTTCTAGGCCATGTTCCTCAGCCTCCAACATCCTTGTCTTACTCAACTTTTTGGACCCATCAGAATCTGGAATTTGCTAACGAGAATTGGGATGATCTCACATCTGTGGTTCAGTTTGCTGTTGATCCATCCAGGGTTTCTGATCATTGTAAATAGTTTAATTAATAGATTTTCATAGCAGTTTCATCCTTTTTATTTCAATGCTTAAACCACTTTTAACACAGCAACATATATATTTCAAATATCTCTCACTCTATTCTTTTCATGTATTGTCACAGATATATTATTTTTTTCCTTGGTTCGTTTGACAACATGTTATTATTGTATGAACGGGTTATAGTTTTGATGCTGCTAGTAAAAAACATGTTACACTTCATTCCTTTTTATCAATTTCTTTATTTGTTTGTCTAAAGAATTAATAAAGTATTGATTATTTTATTTAATTTTACCCTCGTGTATAATAATAACTCACCATAAAGAATGATAATGTGGTAATAATATTTCGATCTATACTTCTTACAATTTAAATGGTACACCAGACTTAATTTTTTGTTCTAGTTTCTACGTAAAATCTCACTCTACGTAAACATTAATTTGAAGAACTAAAATATTTTTTCAAAAATGTTTTAGTTCATAAACTATAAATTTATTGAATTAAAATTTTGTTTTTCAAATTAAAAAAAAAACTAAATTATTTAAAATTTTAAAAATTAAAATCATAGTTAAATATAGAAATAAAAAATAATAATGAAATATTTACAATAAGTTATACTAATTTTCATTATGTTTATTTTTTATTTTACGAATTCAAACAATAAAATACAATATCTACGTATCTTTCCCATATGTTCCATCATGTTGTACATCCAAAACTTAAGTTGCAGTCAGGTCAACACTTTTAACAAGGCTCCGATAAATTCGGATTGGAAATGAGAAGTGATGTGAAGTTGTGAACAGAAGCAGTCCCATCAATTCATGTCAATACTTCTTCAAAACAAAATAGCTGTTAATTTCAAAGAAATTAGAACATCTAAAATTAAAGTTTATTGAAATTGAAGATAATTATGAATTTATATTAAAATAATGTTTTTATTGATAACAAATCATGGTAAGAATTTTTGTTTAAAGATGCTTTTAATAAGTAATTTGTGCCTTAAAAAAATCAACTTATTTTTTTTCTATATTTTCATCATCTTTATTTCTTTTTCCAAAATCAAACACATCATAAAAGTGTCAGTTGGGTCGGGTGAAAAAAATTATATTGACTGCGTTCTGGGACCAAAATCTAATTAGTCAAAGATTATCAAAATCTACAAATGAAGCTTACGCATGAATCCAGTAATTAATGGTGCAGGAAAGGGGAAAAAAATATTTCATTACTCATTTACCAGATGTCTACATATGTATTGAATTGACTAATTTTCATTTTTATTAAAATTCCACGTAACTGATGAGGTGCGTATACCTCCCCCGTCCTCTACTAGGCCCAGGGTAGAAGTTGGGCTGACTGAAGTCAATTAAAGGGTGGTATAGACTAAAAATGATCTTATCTGTCACAGTTTCTCTTTAACGTTCATTGGTTTATGAACACAGTTGTTTTATAGGGAGTAAATTTCGTTAAGTTAGTCAGATAAGTCTCTCTTTCTCTCCAAGTATTTAATCATATATCCAAAGCTCAAACACATGACCACTAATAATTTGTTTTAGGTTATACAATAACCAGCTGTGTTGCATAAAGTGTTATTCTTGTATTTTAATTTGAAAAGAACGAAGAATCCAGTTAGGTTTGTTTGATTTAATTTCTAACCAAGACAACAATAATTTTGTGTTATGTTTGGTAGTTATTGTCGCTTTAGATGAAGGTGTTCTTTCAATTAATGGAACATTTCATAATAGTGTAGCAGATAGCTGACAGTGTGTCTAATTTCTGCTTATTTCAATGCAGGCAGAGGTTGCATCAAAACATAAAAATTGTTGCTTCAATTTAACGCGAGTAGAATGGGTGTTAAATTTCAATCGCAAATTTTCATTAAAACACATGTCAACACTTCCCAATATGTGAAACAAAAACACACTTTAAGTATACTGGGCAATGCTTGGGGAAAAGAGGAAGGAACAGGTTGTCTTGCAAAAACACACTTTAAGTCACGCACTCTAGTGCTACTTCAAAATATTTGTAAAACATTTGTTGTCTTGCAACAATTAAGCCAATCTTTCAACGGACGAGAATATTCAATTGTGGTTTTGTTGTTTAAATTCATTGTGGATTAAAAAAAAGAGCTCTATTCGTTGATCAAATGTTACACATCATAGAAGATTTACCGGTCAGCTCGTGTTGTATTACATTACATTTACATCAGAAAAAGGGATTAATTTTTCAGGGAAGGTCATGTAACAGCTTGATTAGGCAATGATAAAATGAAAACAATAAGGTTTACACGCTCACCCAACAAAATGATATAATTACATTGCCTAAATTGAAATTTGCTCTACGCTGTATACCTGTGAGTAACATCAGGGCTGATGGAAAGAGTTAGCTCCTTGTTCATGGTGATGATTGGTACCTGGCTGGCTAACCACAGGAATATCCAAGCTGCTTCCGTCTGTTTCAGGTGCTACTTCCCTTACATCAGCTATCCTTGCCTCTGTTGCTTGAATATCACTCCATTCATTGTCTCCAACCGGCTGAATGTTCACCTGATCAGTTGCCATGTGGACTACATTCTCTGCAGGTACGGGGATAGCTCTAGAAACGCTCAGGCATGCTTTATCCACATTCTCTTCTGTGGGGTCAACATGTTTTGTATCTGAGCATGACTCTGTTTTCTCAAAAACTTGAGTTGTATCAATGTGTTGCCTGACAAAAAGAAAACTATCTGTTATGTCAACATTGGTTTTATGATGCGCCACATTTCATAACTGATAAACATATTCAACCTCAACAAACTCATAAGAGAAATAAAACATCAAAAGTTTCCTTCCATTTCCCTGCTTTACTGGGTATTTCAATTTTTATGTTTAGGTCGGAAAAGAGAACACTAAAAACTAACATACCCCAATGCTAGAAGACTCCTGGCTATGTGAAGATATGGGGGAGAGTCATTATACACAACCTTACGGTTGCAAATACAAAGAGACTGTTATTGGATTCAACCCCACCAACCAGTCACCAAGGCAAAACACTTAACTGTTGTGCCATGTAGTAAACAAATCTAATTTAACAAAATAGAATGTGAGGGCAAAAGAAAATAAAATTACCTTTGAAGTTGGGCTTTTAGTACATTCACATATGCCAGAAGCTCTTCCTTTTCTTTTGTTGCTGCAGATTCTCTCTGAACAGCATCCCTTATCCTAGCTTCAGCATTTGCTTCTGCAACCCTAACCTTTTCTTCTGCTCTTACTACAGCTGCTTCCAAGATAACATCATGTTCTCTAGCTTTTGCCAGCTCGGTTCGCCACATATTTGCTTCCTGAACAGCTGCATCTCTCTGCCTGATTAATTGTTCTTTTTCTTTGCTTAGGCCCACAATCTTTTCTTCAGACTCTTTCAGCTACAAAAGAAAATGAAAGACAAGATGAACTTTGAAGACAATTCCATCTCTCGAAATACCCATAGCAATAGCTAAGGGTCAATTGTGCAAAGCAGTTTACCGAGAGACTATAATTTCTGTCAGCCAAAAATGCTTCCATATGAACCAGCGCAACGGCATACCTTCTGTGCAAACAATTCTTGATGCTTCTCAGAATCTTTATTCAAACGTTCAATTTCTGCACAAGCAATTCTCCGATGCTCATCCATAGTATAAGCAGCAGATGCTGCAGCCTCAGCAGCTTCAGCAGTCTCAGATAGTTTATCTGCTATATCTTTTATAGTTGAATCACGTGCCCGAAGGTCTCTAGACAAGTTCTGTAGCTCCTCATCCTTCACTCTTAGTGTTTCCTGCAGAGTAGAGTAGCAACTTCAGAACCAAATCCAAAGCAATAAAGAATCACGAAGACCCAAAAAGCCAATAAATACCCAAATACGAATATTCCTTGTCTAATGAAAAAAACAAATATTTCTCTATTCATATCCACCATCCTCATTTCCTCTTCAAAATCTTGGCCACTTCACCCAGTCCCTGTCATAGATACTATGAGAGAGATAGAGATATTCCCCAAGATATTTTTATTCTTTTTTTTTCCTTCCATTTTGTTACTATTTTGATAAGCATGTGAACATAAATCATGAGCTTGAAAATGCCAGTTAGCCAAATAAACGTTAATTAAAAGGGGGCCCTCCCCTAACTCCAAATCGAAGGAGGAATTTATCCATTTTAAAACAATATTGTGGCAAAAGAAAGACATGTTTCTACTGGTTAATACATGACAATGGCATAGAAAGAAGTCTTATCATAATTCCATTTCAACCATTATTTAATGCATTATAAAAAAAGTATGACAAATAATTCATACCATACACAATCAAAATTCATAAAATCTCTTTACAAAATGTTCTAGCTAGAAACTATCTAGTTAAGGATGCAATTAGGTAAGGTTTGATAAAAAGCATTTTTTTTATATATCGCTTCTTTTTACCTTCCAGAATTGTACTAAAACTTTTTTTTTCTATGGATTTTTAACTTATTTTAACAAGGTTTAATTGAATTTTAGATCATTGTACATGACACTCCTATCACAAAAACAACAGGTTTCCAAAATCATTTTTCATTTAATTTTTGCTGTCACATTGGGTATGTGTTAGAAACCCACAAATGAGCAAGCCAATGGATACTCAGATAGAATGAATGATGAAAAGAATTGAACAGACTTGTTATTGGTATCCGAGTCCTTAAAGAAAGGGAGGAATTCTCTTTGGAAGGGTTTCAGTTTTCACCTATTTCGCAACAAAGCCAGTGTGTTGTTACAAATGCTAACAACTCAGGATGATCCCTCTACCCTTGCATCCCCCTATTTATTTATCTAACCAAATCCCCTTTCCCCAGATAACTAGTCCAATTGTTAATACTAATTTCAAGTGTCCTTATTTTTCCAAGCAAATGTATTTCTATTCTAACAGACTGAATTTTGATCCTTCTACATTCAATATTCTGGTCCCCAGACATGACAAAAGGGATTGAATCAAGAAAAAATTCACATATGGGACCAGGTTGGAACACTTTTCGTGTAGAAATTATACTGAAAATGAGAATCACCTCAATGGAGAAAAGGTTCAATTTTAGGACCTTTAATTTTCATAGTAACAAAATGTCATTTTTAACAAATTTAATTTTCATAATAGCAAAATATTGACATTTACATGCGAGACCCTAGCTGCTATCATGGAAAATGAGATGTATCTGCTCCCTTTTTTCACATAAGTTTTATTTATTATTAATTAACCTGGACCACTCTCCTCTCTTAAATGCCCAACCAGTGATGAAGCTTAGAAGTGATTTCCAGATGCAGGGAGCAATTAGAGTAATTAAAATAGACTTTTTATCAAACATAATAAGGGAATAAATATGTAAGTACAAAGATTTCACATCTTTACAAATTTTAACTAATGAAGATGTCGCAAAAAACTAGAATATAGCAATGCGGGAGAAGGTGCAACTGGAGCCAAGTTTTCACAAGAAATTACACAATTAGTGGAATCACAGTATCAAGAATACAACTCTGCTGCACCATCACGAATGCTGAACTATACATTTGAGCACAAAGAAAGACAGAAAAAACCAGAACGAGATTATACCTTCATGATTGTTAAATCATCCATAGGACCATCAGTAGTCCTATTATTCATCATTCCCAGAGCATTTCGCAAAGAAATCTGCATTGCTGCTTCAATTTCTTTTGAACATTCCAAGGCTGTTGAATTGGCTGCTGCAACAACCGTTGCAACAGTTCCTAACTTTGTAGAACCATTCCCACTTAAGGAATTCACAGCTTCTTTATGGGCTTTTAAAACCAACTGAGTTGCACTGATATCAGATGATAAATAAATCAGATGAGGAAATAGCAACAACTATTTGACAGAAATATCTGAAACAGAAATGATTCATTCATCATTCAAATTGATCCAATGTAGTGGAAGGAAACAACCTCAGACAACTAAGAATAATAATTATAATAAATAATAATAATAATAATAATAATATGAGGATCGTTAAAATAAAAGCTTATGACATGACATTCGTATTTGACATGTCTCGTTTTCCAAGCAAATGCCTATTTCCATGAACATAACTGTTCAAAAGAGTCAGAAAATCGTGAAGTAAAGTTATTACATGAATTTTCAAGAGATTTAAACATGACAGAAGTAAACAAATTTTTGTAAGAAACTAGCAAATTAATGGTAAAACTCAACACAAATGTATTAGACATTTAGGTTCAAGCATGCAGTAATTTACTTGAAAGCTACACACCTCTTGTAGATCTTACAAACTGATGCTTTGAAATACAAAAGAATTTTTTAACATACATACTAATACATTCAACAACATAAAACAAAATAACAGGCTAAGATTATATTCCATTGAACATGGCCCATAGGGAAAAGGTAGAAGAAGTGGGATCACAAAACTTACTGTAAAGTTGACACCCATGCTCTAGCTGCGCCAGGAGTCTCGGCACAGAGGAAGTAATCCTTTTTCTGTGGTGTCCCAATATCTAAAGTGAGCAATTAAGGTAACAACCGAGGTGATCTTCATTAATCTGTTAGCAACAAACAAATTCGCTGCGCAAGTACTAAATGTCATAAAAATGACAAAAAGGATACAAAAACAGCAACCATCATACTTTGGAAGCCCCCTGTTAACACGCAGAAATAAAATTATATCATATCTGGAAACTAAGCAAAATAGGCTTAAGCTTAAAACACCGTTCTTACTGAAAATTCACAGGAGATACTGTGATCGTGCTATTGGCATCAAATATAATCGTTCCTTTCACAGATGGTTCATTTCGTCTTATCCTAAAGAAGGGGAAACATAAAAAACAATACAAAACATCAGTAATCAAAGTGACTCCTGTCTCCTAACCAAAGGAGAAACCACTATGCATAGACATACTTGTATTCCATTCTCCCCGTTGTCGGGTCCAAAATCACCCAACGCTCGTTCCATTTTCTGAGCTGTGAATACAAAAGCGGTTTATACATTTAGCTAGCTTTTTTTCCCCTAAAAGCATCAGTTAAGGCTACAAGATGGTCATAAAAACAATTTTGGCTATTCAATCGATTATAACACAAACAACAAAACAGATCGCATTGGAATAGTAGAATGATCAGAACATCGTTTGAGAAAGAAATAGCAATTCGAATTAGGTAAAGAGAAGAGTAGAGGTGAAAATAAAGTAAAATTGAAGCGAGGGATGAGAAATAGGTATTGAGATAAAGGGAGTGCGTGAATTACGGTTTCAGATCTCTTGAGAAGTGGTCCCTGCAACAAGTTCCTACCCGAAGCGGATGCGAGTTGGCGCTTGATCTTCTCCAAGCTATTCTCTGTGGTCTCTGCAGCTCGCTGTGTCATTGCAATTCAGCTCAGAGTTATCAACAGCTATTGAAAAACACAAACACAATATAAAGAAGGTGGCGATTGACGAGTTACCGGAGAAGCCATGAGTGTAGATCAAGAGTTGTGAGAAGCTCAATCGCAAGGGTTTTGGGTGATATTTCCCAGATTTGCGTTTTGAGTGTTTTTAGAATATTGAAAGAAATTTTAATTTTTGAAAATTAAACTATTTATTAATGGAAAAGACTGGTAGGTTATTTCCAACACTGACTTGCAGTTGTGCAGTTAGGTCACTTTGTTGTCCTATTCCTATTCATTTATCTTAAATATTATAGAGGTCCAAAAATATTTTTTAAAACAATAACTTTGATCATTTTTAATATTTAAAAAATATTGATTAAATTTTTACTCTTTGTTTATAATATTTTTAATTTTAGCACCATTAAACATGACAAAAAAATTTGGCATGGTTACAGTTTTTCTCTCCTATTTTCCTTCATGAACACCAAACAATGTAGTATAAGTTTCTTCTAATCTCAATAATTCATATATTAATATAATTTAAACACAATGATCATCTTTTTGTCTTAAAAAGTATTCTTTAACTTAAAGAGATGTATAATTATTTCTCGTATCGACCTCAACAAATATTTATCCAAAAAAAAATTATAATTATTTTAAAATTTTTAATTTAAAATATAATATAAATAGATAGTGATATTTAAAATTAAATTAATATAAACAAATTGATTATAATTAATATTTTTAAATTAAAAAATTTGATTCCATTACACGAAATCAACTAAATTAAATTAAAATTATAATATATATTACTGAAATTAAAATATAAAATAATATTTATTTCAAATATATTAACTAGTTATTTTTTTATAATTTAAAATATATATTATTATTTTTAAACTAAATATAAAATAAATATGATAAATAATTATATAATATTTTGTATAAATTTATTATTTAATAAATAGTTATTTTATTATAACATATTTATAATTTTATAATAAATAATCATAAAAATTATCTAAAAAATATGAAAAATAATTATATTTGATTAAAAATAATTTTTAAATTAAACAAAATAAATTAAAACACATTTAATTTTTATATTAATTAAAATATATTTTTAATAGAAAATCCAACTATACAAAACACTCTTTTCAACAGAAAGTTATATTTATACATGCCAACAATAATAGTCTCTGTTCTTTTTATATTTCCCTGACACAACTTTTTATGCTAAAATATAATCAGAACATCTCTTCAAACTAGTCTTTTAAAAATTAAAGAGACTTTTATCCTTTATGTATTTGACAATATTGACTGAAGTTATATTATATTATATTATATATATATATATTATAATGCTTAAAAATAACTTTTAAAGTTCTTAAAATAATATTTATGATTTATGAAATATAATTCATATTCAAATATCAAAATAGTATTTTCAACAATAAAAAAAATAAAATGATCCAAGACTTTATAGTAATTTAAATAAAAACTAGAAAATCATGAAAAAAATCTCAATAAAGATTTTAATATTACAGTTAATATTTAATATTTGGAATGAAATAAAAGTTTCAGTCAAGTTTGTGATTATATTTCACCTAAATAAAATTCTTAGTTTATTTGATGATGATGAGGTACACTCTTCCAAGTTACAATATTTTTTGTGTTTGGCTTGTGTACATAATTTTTTATACTAATAAATTTATGTATAGTTTTTAAGGTATACAAATAAGAAAAATAAAATAAAAGGACAAATTTACTAAGAGATCTATTTAATGTTTTTAAATATGTTTTACTTTTTTAACATAGTTAAAAAAATACTTTAATTTAAAAAATTGATAAAAAGTACTTTTCTTTAGTTTTCATTAATATAGTTTAATGTTTTTTATTAATGATTATTTATTATTTATAAAATTATTAAAACATTTTTAAATTTTAGTTAAATTAATTTTATATTTGTTGTGTTTAAAATAAAAATAATTATTAAATATTTTTAATTTATTTTATTTTTATATATTATTTTTAAAAACTTAAAAAAAATCATTATAAAAAAAAGTCAGAAATGTAAATTTGACACCTAATTTGATTTCATCCTCGGTGTATTTGTATATTACTTTTGAATTTAAATACAGCACGGTGTTTTTAAGTTGGCGCTTTTCAATTTCGCAGACAAAATCCAAACCCTAGACAAAGCACATTCTTAGATTGATACTGATCCAATCAGGCCCAGCTTCTTCCTCCTTCACTGCACTGGCTGATAACATCATCACTGTGCTCAAGTTGTAGATTCAGTCAAGCATTTTACCAAACAGAGAGCAGGGGAAGTAATCAATGGGTGGGATATTGAAACAGCCGGGGGCATTTACAATCACGCCGCACAAAGTATCGCTCTGCATACTCCTTAAGATATACGCTCCACCCGCTCAGATATCGATCCCCTTCCCTTTCTCTTCCGTAGCTCAGCACAATCGCCTCGGCATGTTCTTGTTAGCCCTCACCAAGGTCACCGCCACCTTTTTTTTTTCTTCCCGCTGAAACAATATGCTTTTCAATTAAGCATGTCATTTTCAGTATAGTTTGAACTTACCACATTCTGGGATGATTAGCTCATATGTTGTTAAATTTTGATACTTAACTTTGTGCCTAGTTAGTTCTTTCTTAGGTTCTAATTAAATGTTTTTTTTTTCTCACAAAAATGATGAGAGTAGAAAAAAAGAAAGTGAAATAAATTTAATAAATAAACCAAAATTAGTTTATGTTTTATATAGAATTCTTTTAAGTTATATCACTTTAGTTTCTCCAAGATTTAACTTCTAATTTATGTATTACTTAATTTGTTGAAACTCTCTTATGCTAGTTTTTTGAAAATTGATATTCAACTTATACCTAAGCTAAAAGATTATCGAGAAATTTATTTATTTATTATTTTTTCTCACATGAATGCTTCTAAATAAAGATGTTTATCAAAACACGTCCTATCCAAACAGGACTGTGCTTATTTTCTTACTGTGTAGTATAGAGTTAAACGTTCACCTTGTTGTCTCATCGATTTTAATCCAGTGTTGGATCACGCATTTTCTTTATGCTTGCAAGGATTTTCCGTATGCTTAATGTTGCTGATAATGCAGTCATGCGATGATATTTTGGAACCTAAATTGGATGAACTCGTCCATCAACTGAGAACGATGTGCCAAAACTGGGAGGCTTCCTGGGCTATTGATCAGTTGATAAGTAGACTTTCATCTCTGTCATCACCTGATGATTTGTTTAATTTTTTCAGTGATATAAGAGGTGAGTTTTTCAACTTTAATTTTGTTAACCTTTGTGCCATTTTATATATGTTTTGTCTGTTTTAATTCCCTCCTTCTTCTTTTTCATTTTACTCGCAAATTAAGAAAATTTAGTTATTGCTTATACATTAGATCAATTTTAGATATTTACTGATATTAAAATGTGGTCAGGAATCCTTGGGGGTTCTGATTCAGGTGCTGTTGAAGATGACCAGGTTATTTTGGACATGAACAGTAACCTGGGGATATTTCTTAGGCGTTGTGTACTAGCTTTTAACTTGCTATCATTTGAGGTATGATGTTTTCCAGCATTCTTAAGATGTTTTAAATTGATCGTAGTTTGAATTGATCTTTATCCATGTCAATACAAAGTGTGAGATGGTGAAGCTGTTTTCTTTGAAGCTCCGTAACATAGCTTGGTGCTTCTAACAAAGTTTTATTGTTTAAATGGTGCCTTTGAATGAGTTTACAATGATATTACTAAAATTCATGGAGTGGGGCTCATCACCTGATAGATATCCTTTGTTTTCATGATGATCAAGTTGCTATTAGGAGTTTAAGGGGAAAATATTTTTTGCTTAATCTTCACATGCTAAGTTTATGTGTGTTATTTTCACTATTCTTCTTTAGAATGAAACTTAATCTCCTTATAACCTCTAATTTCAATGTCCAGGGTCTATCCCATCTCTTGACAAACCTCGGAATCTATTGTAAAGACGAATTCTCAAATTGTCCCTCCTATGAAGAACATAGTTTAGATGATTCTAGTAGTAATCTGGAGACATATTCAGAATATGAGAACATGGACCTGGAGAACTTTGTCTATGAAAAGGTTTCAGAGGAAATTGAAGCAAGAAAGGAGGCTAGTGTAGTTGTTCCATTCCATCTTCATACACCCAACACTCTTCTGAGTTTAGTTGACGGTATAACAACTTCATGGGTCTGCTCTTTTAGTGTTTTCTGTGTAGTTTGGAAAGCGTTTGAAAAATATAGACCAGGAATTTACCCAATAACCAGAAACCACTTTTTTGTTTCTTCACTTAACATTTGAGTTTCTCTATTTATGCCTTTGCTGTTTGACACAATGTTTGAGACAATGACACACGTTTACTTATAATAACTCACATGCACAGATATTGATGTGCCTGCTGATTCAGTATCCAAACAGAGTGAGAAAGTTAGAGTATCTACTGCTTATGGGGACTCTTCAAGTAATATGCTGCGAGATGTTGATCACAGTGGTGCAGTATTTCTGCGGACAAACTGGCAGGTACAAGGGTACTTGCAGGAGCAAGCTGATACAATTGAAAAGTAAACAACTTCAAAACCTAGAACTTCCCTGATTTTTCTAATTTCAAATAAACTTGTAACAGTGAATTGCAATTATATCAATTTTCAAGTCTTATTCATATCATTATCAGGAATGGTAATGCTGTATCTTACAATGGACTTGAAATTATTCTACGGCAGCTACAAAAATTGGCACCTGAACTGCATCGGGTAAGTTAAGCTTATTAGATTTTTTAATAGTATTCCTTCAATTTATTATTTTCATTAAAGTTTGCTGTGATTTTGAGTTTCACTTCAATCCAGGTTCACTTTTTGAGCTATCTGAATGGTCTTTCTCATGATGATTATCTTTCTGCTTTGGAGAATCTTCATTGTTATTTTGATTACAGGTAATTGAACAGTTGTTTCTTTATTTAATCTCTCTGACAGCATTGATTAATGTTTGGGATCATTCGATGAGTAATTAGATATAAAGCAAGTGGGAATATGGCATCATTGATTTCCGCTTGTTCATCATAAATGGATATTCATTGCGACCCCAATAACCTACAATTGACTCACCCAACAAAGTCGTTGACACCATTATCCTGTGACTATTATTATTGTGTACTTGTGTGTTCCTGAAAAAGCAATACAAAAATGTATGTATAAAGTAAATTGTTGCCAAGGAAATAAATTGACCTGCTATCAAATGAATTCTGTTTCTTAGTGCTCTTCCACGTGGTTACTAGGATTCCTCCATTTTATTCATACTTCCAATCCCGAATTTATTGAAATTGAAGATTGTCAAAATTTGGAATCTCAACATATGCAATTGTAAACATTTTCATATCCTTCATCTATAGGTTTTGTCTTTTGCTGTGAATTATAGATTTATAAGTATATTTGTCCTGTGGACATATCCCCAATATCAAGTGACTTAGTAGCCAATAAAAAAGAGTGAGGAGCATTATCTCTTACAACTGAACTTATCTTTTATTTGTTGTACAAAAGTGCAGGGACTGAAGGATTTGATTTTGTTCCTTCAGTCGGTGGTAATGGCTTTGGAAGATATGAAATCGGTTTATTATGTTTGGGGATGATGCAGTTTCACTTTGGGCATCCAAAGCTGGCATTAGAGGTAATTTTTTGTGTATTTTGATCTTGATCTATGATGCACAGATACGATATAGCGTATCCGGTGATTCGTCTTATATTGTGAGTATATATATAATTATTAAATATTATTTAAATTGAACATATTAAATATATTTTTAAATGTATATATGACTTTAAAAAAAATTTAAATGTAAAATAAAAGTTAACAATAACTACTTATTGTTTAGAAATAGAAATAGTATCAATTTCATCTCCTCCTTGAGCATCATCAGTAAATAAAACAGCTTCCATGTCTCTTCATCAAGAGATAATGTTGCCACTCTAAATAATAACTTCCATGTTTGTTATGATTAATTTAACTGTAATAATAACAGAAAAATATTAGTTATTCTGTTTTTATTTTTGTTTGGATTTTTTTTCGATACAAATTTTTTAAGTATCGAGGTGAATCGGTATCGGATATGATAATGTATCGATGCATCAGAGATCTTGATACATACTTTGCATTTCTACCTTTTCTAGTCATCAAGGCTTCTATTATTTGTATTATTTTTTACTCAGCTAGTTATTAATCCAATATAGTTTTTCTTCTATGCATTATTTTTTAGTGCAACCCTTATATTGGTTTTTATGTTTATCTAGGTTTTGACAGAGGCAGTTCGTGTTTCTCAGCAGGTAATCAAATGAAAATAAGCTTTATTTATTCAATAAATTTGCCAATCCGTGTTTATCAATTATTTGCAAACCCTAAGCTGACAGCGAATGTTGCCTATGCATGCTATGCTAAAGGGGGTACATGGCAAAATAAATGTTGTTGGTATATATTGCCATAATGCCATTTGAACCCCAAATCTTTCTTCCTGATATATTAGTCATATTTGTGAAGACTGACGATTTTCATTTGTGCAGCAAAGTAATGATACCTGTCTTGCATATACTTTAGCAGCTATTTCAAACTTGTTGTTTGAAAATGGTATCTCAAGTACAGCTGGGACACTAGGATCATCGTACTCACCTTTTACAAGTATAGGTGTTTCACTCTCTGTTCAACAACAGTTGTTTGTTCTCTTGAGAGGTTCTTTAAAGAGGGCAGAAAGTTTAAAGTTAAAGCGGTTGGTGGCTTCTAATCATCTGGCAATGGCCAAATTTGATCTAACGGTAATGAAATTTTCTGACTACTTTAATTATTCTCTTATACTGCTAGTACTTTGTTATATGAAGCCGTACATATAGCATACATTTTGAATTTGACACCCAAACGGTAATGTAATTTTTTTTTTGTGACTTTAGCTTTATTGATTTTATTGTGAGTTTAGCTTCTTAAAATATTCAAACCTCAAATATATTGAGTGTTCAGTATAAGAATATAGGAAAGACACAGAAGAATTGTGGAAATTGCACACAATCAAGTTCATGGGGCACACTGTCAAACTGAGAAAGAGTTATCCAGAGTAGATTGAGATGAGACCTGCATTTTTACATTGTTTGAGTTTATGCCAGGGAGGTCAACCTTGAAAGCTTTATGCCTATTGCAGGGTGTGATGTATCTATGAGAAGGAAACAAAAGATACTTGCATAGTCTTCATTGAGATAACTAAAGTATAGGCTTATGGAAGGCTTTGGAGAAGGATTGACTGAGTCCATATAAATGTTAAATGGAGTACTGGACTATCCTTGGTATCTGAGTCGTTGGCTATTTAGGATGAAATTTGCTTAGAATTTGGTCATGATACATACATAAACTTCAAACTATAGCATCAAGTTTGCACCCTACCAATCAAAAAAACATTTGTTGGGATGGGAAAAATGTGTATCCATTTTATTCTCTCAAGTCTCAGCACATGCTATTGTTCTTGTTTCTATTGATATTTTGTTTTGAAAAATTTAGAGAAACTGATAATTGAAACAGAAGAAAGTCTTCTGTTCTTAATTTTCATAAATCTCTAGCACATAGATATTAGAAGCAGCCTTTTGTAGAAAAGATGCCAGTATAGCAAAAACTAATGTTTTGTCTTCTTTTGTTAGTTATCCTAGCTGTCTCTTATTTAGCGGCAGTTATAGAAACTGCTTTTACACTTTGTAGGGACGTTACATGGGTTGAATTGGGTAGAGTTTGGTCAAATCCATCGGTAACCCAATTAATTTTTTTTGGGTTGGGTTAGGTTGGCTTTTTGCTTTGTTTATGTTACTTAGACCCAACCAGATCAATGGGATGGGTCTACTGGGTGTCATATTTGTAAAATATTTTTTTATTAAATATTATATAAAACTCATTACCGCACCAGTGAGATGTTGGATTAGATTGAGTTGGGTTGAGATCGACTAAATTACAAAGAAAATTCAATCCAATCTATTTGGGTTGGATTGGAGAGTTGGATTACTAATCCAATAAACACCCTATTCTAAATGAGAAATACTTGAACTTTCTCTTAGGAGATTTAAGAAAATCAATGACAGAAAACTTTCTGCTCTTTCAATTCTAAGTTTCTCTCAATTCTTCATGTGTTAAGTTTAGACATTGCTTTGATGCTTTGAGCATTTTCAGTTGCAAACAAACAACCACTATATGAGATTGAATATTCCGAAATGTGGGATTTTAGAGTAATAGGATACTCTTCTCATTATTCTATATCAGTTTCCCCCTTGGTATTGGATGTTGTTACTAACATTGAATAGCTAGTGCCTTAGTGTATGCCTTTTACAGACAATACCTGATATATATTGTGGTAGGTAGTTTGATTGATGAGTTGAGAGAAAGAATGAATGCTCACCATGAGTTATGGAGAGAAGCTTTGGAATGAAAAGGCTTTTGGGTAGTAGGAGTGAGACACAATATATGGACTACCAAGTTTAGTGAGACCGCAACTTGAGCGAACAATTTCTTGAAGAATTGAAATTGGGGATTAGATCATAACTGATGTTGCAGTTTTGGTGCATTTTGAAATATGACCTAATACTAATAAATTTTAAGATCGCATTACTATTAGTTATTGTTGAAGTTGAATCCCTAGTCCTTGTACCTTACCCTAAATAATTAATATTTGTCTTATTTTAAGTTTTTTCTGGCTCTACAAACTTAAAGTAGATCGTATGTCTTGTTAGTGGGTACTGAAACTTGAAAAATTTCCTGCTCCATTTTACATCATGTGTAGTGTCTTCATTGCAGCATGTTCAGCGGCCCTTGCTATCATTTGGTCCGAAAACTAACATGAAGCTCAGTACTTGCCCAGTAAACGTTTGCAAGGTATTAGAAATCTTTGTGATTATCCTTTTGTTGGCGACAGTTTCAGACATGTGAATTAATTCTGAATCTATTTCTTGTATGGCTGGTGAATTAATTCTGAATCTATTTCTTGTATGGCTGGCTGGCAGGAAATTCGGTTGAGCTCTCAGCTGATTAGTGATTTTAGCGACGAGAGTTCTGCAATGACAATTGATGGTGCCTTTAGTACAGCTTGGCTTAGGAATTTACAAAAACCAACAGGTTCTCTTGTTTTGTGTCAAGAGAATGGATCTGGCAGCAGCTCTAATGTTTCCCAATTCATTGCACAACCAACCTCAATTCCTGGATCTGTTTTGCAAGTATTGGGTTCATCTTATATACTTCGTGCAACTGCATGGGAGTTATATGGCAGGTAAAGTTGCTATTTGTGTTGAGATATGTTTGTATGAACTTATGAATTAATTAACGTTGCACTAATTACTGTTCTATTTTTTTGGGAAAATTGTCTACTAACAGGGTATAATTGATTAAAGTTCCTTGCTTTTAGGCAAACCGATTAATAAAAATATCTAACAAGCTGACATTGCTTTTCTTCAATGTATTAATTTTTGCTGTTTTAAAACGATAGTCTAATTGCTGCTGGATTTTAATCCATATATCAATGATCTATTATTTTGAAACCTTCAACTTAAGTGATATATGACACCACCAACTACTCCTTCCCTTTGCAAGACAAGATAGACTGTTAAGAATTATAAGTCAAGACATACTGGCTTCACTAGCCAGAACAATTGTTGGGAAAAGTGGGAATGATTATATTAAGACTTAAGCATAAGCAAAGAGAGCCCAACCTGAAATACTTGTCCATTAGGTGGAAGAAGCTCAAGGCTTAAACACCACGTCAAGTACGTCATCTTACTCAATGTGAGATTCGTAATGCTGCTGCCTCCTTTAAGGGCTAATGTCCACAGTGTCTTCAATTTATTTACATTGACCCAAGGTAACCCTTCCCTTCTATGGTTTCACTCACCTATTAGTATTCAGTTTGCACTGTAATCCAACTATTGAGATATATTGTTTATGTATCTTTTAGTATTATTTTTTTTCAATGTTCCTTAGACTAGGGTTAAGGGTTGGGCTGAGACCCATATCCTCTCTATTGTATCCCTTTTTCTATAAATACAATGTATCAGTGCTTTTGGTCACTGTATCAAACCCTAAATAAGTTTTCTCAAGTTGGTATCAGAGCGGGTAAGATCCCGCACTGATTTCTGATCGCCTTTGTTAGTTCTGACCGTCGTTAGCTGCTGTCCGCCGGCCACCGTCTCTGTTTGGACCGGCGAAGGAGTGGTTTTGCTCGCCTTGAGAAGCGCAACCCACCCCTGCAAGTCGCTTCTCCGTTAGTTGCCCCCATGCGCCGTCAGGCATCGTCATCCCGGTGAGCCCTCTCAGGTGTCCCACACGCCGCCTTCCAGTGGCCGGAATCAAGGTTGACCACTTCTGTTCGACTCGCCAGCGTCCTCCAAGTCTAGTGTTGCCCTTAGTTTTCTGGTTTGAGAATTGTGTGTGAAAAGTCCTGTGGGTAATCCTATTCGTTGACTTTATTCATCTTTTCTGGTTCAGATGGCCTCATCCCCTGCCTTCACCTTTTCTGCTATTCCCACCATAACTAGTGCCAAGCTCAACTGGAAAAATTACTTATCTTGGTCTGCTTCACTTGAGCTGTGGTTTCTTGGTCAAGGGCATCACGACCATTTGGAGAAGGATGTAGACTTTATTTCTGTTGCAGAAAGGTCTCAGTGGGATTAAATAACTTTGTGTAATCTTATGGCAGTCTGTAGAACCAGATGTTCTTGAGCTTCTCAGGTCATTCAAAACCTGTTCTTCTTTTTGGAAAAAGGCTTAAGACATTTTTGCTAATGATATTCAATGTCTCTTTGATGCAACTCAAAGAGTGACATCACTTAAGCAAACCAATCACGACATGATGGCTCACATCGCAAAAGCTAGGACTGTTGTGGAAGAATTAAAAAGGTTTCTTGTTGCAAATACCTTAGAGTAGTTAAACACCAACTTGAAATAGAAAAAAGAAAATAAAGAACTGATTTTGAGAGCCTGCAATCATCTTCTTGTGTTCTCTTATTTATAGGAGATAAAAATACAGATTCAGAGATACAATTAATAGAGAGACATGATTAATCCTAGAGAAGATAAACAAATGCATTCTAGGAACTAGGTCTACAACTAATCTCATAAATGTCCAACAAGATACACTTAATCTAATAAATACTTCAACACTCCCCCTCAAGCTGGAGCATACAAATTGAATGTACCAAGCTTGGAACAAATGAATTCCATTCGAGGTCCTCTCAAAGATTTTGTTAATGCATCTGCAAGCTGCTCATTGGAACCAACAAACTCAGCACAAATTTCTTTAGTCAACAACTTCTCCCGAATAAAATGACAGTCAATCTCAATATGCTTAGTCCTCTCATGAAATACTGGGTTGGAAGCAATGTGAAGAGCAGCTTGATTATCACAATACATCTTCATAAATTGAATCTCACAGAAGTTCAATTCTTGCAAGAATTGTTTTACCCAAACAAGTTCACAAGTAAGAGACGCCATTGCCCTATATTCAGCTTCAGCAGAGGATCGGACAACAACGTTTTGCTTTTTGCTTTTCCATGAAATGATATTTCCTCCAATGAAAACACAATAGCCTGTAGTGGAACGCCTATCCATAGGAGATCCAGCCCAGTCATCATCACAGTACCCAAAAATTTGGGTATTTCCCTTATCTTCATATAATAATCCTTGTCCTGGAGCTTTTTTAATGTATCTTAAGATTCGAATGATAGCATTCCAATGATCCACACAAGGAGCTTGCATAAATTGGTTGACAACACCAACTGCAAAAGACAAATCAGGTCTAGTAATCGTCAAATAAATAAGTTTCCCAACCAGTCTTCTATATCTTTTCGGGTCGAGAAAACTTCACCATGTCCCGCCATTAACTTCAAATTTGGATCCATAGGACTCGTCCACAGGTTTGCAATCAATCATACCTGTCTCTTTTAGAATATCTAGAGCATACTTCCTTTGAGAGATGACAATACCTTCTCTTGATTGAGCTACTTCAATACCCAAGAAATATTTTAGATTTCCAAGATCCTTGGTCTGAAAATGACTACATAAGTGCTCTTTTAGCTGAAATATTTTAGCAGCATCATTCCCTGTGATAACAATATCATCAACGTACACAATTAAATAAACATGTTTGCCAGGGGCAGTGTGACAATAAAACACTGAATGATTTGCTTCGCTGCGTTTTAATCCAAAAGCTTGAACAATAGAGCTGAATTTTCCAAACCAAGCACGTGGAGATTGTTTTAGGCCATAGAGGGATCGACGTAATTTACAAACCAAACCAGACTCCCCCTGAGCAACAAATCCAAGAGGTTGCTCCATGTAAACTTCTTCTTCTAAGTCACCGTGCAAAAAAGCATTTTTAATATCCAATTGATGAAGAGGCCAATGACGAATGGTGGCCATGGCAAGGAACAGGCGGGCAGTGGTCATTTTGGCTACTGGAGAAAAAGTATCACAATAATCAAGTCCATATATCTGAGAATACCCTTTAGCCACTAACCTTGCTTTAAGACGATCAACCCGACCATTGGGCCCAACTTTAATAGCATAGATCCAACGACAACCAACTCGTTTTCTTTCCGAAGGGAGAGGAACAAGCTCCCATGTTTTGCCGTGATCAAGAGCCTGTATTTCAGAAATCATGGCTTGTCGCCATCCAGGATGATCAAGCGCTTCGACCAAATTTTTGGGAATTGTAATAGAGGAGACAGAGGAAATAAAAGAACAATAGGAAGGAGACAATCTATGATAACTAAGAAAATTGTAAATGGGATGAGGATTACGAGTAGAACGAGTACCTTTGCGAATGGCAATCGGCCAACTGGAGTCATCGTTATTAGGAGTCGTGGTATTAGAGGATGATGGTGAAGGACCTGTTATGGATGGCTCATCTTGGGGAATGGGATTGTTCACCTGGTTCTTGCGTTGATAGGTGATGATAGACTGTGATGTTGAATCTAGAGTATTTTGGTTGGGATTTGGGGTGTCAGGAATAGGAGGTACAACTGATTCAACTAAGGGAACAGGAAACACATTTTGGACAGAATCAATATCCTGCATAGAATAAGGGAAGAAGGATGATGATTCACAAAAGGTGACATTAGCAGACATGTAGTACCTCTTGGTTTCAGGAGAATAACACCGATATCCTTTTTGAAGACGAGAATACCCCAAGAAGACACATTTGATAGCTCTAGGTAAGAGTTTATCTAAGCCAGGAGACATGTCATGAACAAAACATATACATCCAAATACCCTAGGAGAAACATGAAAAATTGGTTCCTTTGGAAATAGAATAGAGTGTGGAACTTTATTATCAAGAGAAGAAGATGGCATTCTATTAATGAGAAAGCATGCAGTTAGAATAGCATCTCCCCAATGATGAATAGGCATATTGGCACCCAGCAATAAGGTACGAGCAATTTCAACCAAATGTCTATTTTTTCGTTCTGCTATACCATTTTGCTGTGGTGTGTGAGGACACGTGGACTGGTGTAAAATGCCTTGAGAATTTAGAACATTAAAAAAATCATTAGAAAAGTACTCTTTGGCATTATCACTTTGTAAAACTTTGATTACTTTTTCAAATTGAGTTTTGATTTCATTAAGGAAAGACTTAAAGATAGGCAATAGTTCAGAACGATCTTTCATAAGATAAACCCAAGTACATCTAGAAAACCCATCAATAAAAGTAACAAAATATCTAAAACCAAAAGATGAAACACGACTAGGTCTCCATATATTTGAATGAACAATACTAAAAGCAGAATCACATCTAGATTCAGAATGATTTGGAAAGGATGACCTGGTATGTTTCCCTAGTTGACAGGATTCACATTCAAGAGTTTGAAGGTTCTGAAGTTCAGGAACCATTTTTTTCAATTTTGCTAAATGAGGATGCCCTAATCGCTCATGTAACAGTTTTGGGGATAAGGACGCAACACAAGATACAAATGACTTAGTCCTAAGGTAGTATAAGCCTCCAGATTCACGTCCTTCTCCAATCAGTCAACCCGTACCACGTTCCTGGATAACAAAACAATTGACATTAAAGGTTACTGAGCAATTCAATGATTTGGTTAATTGGCTTACAGAAACAAGACTGAATGGAAAAGAAGGAACACAAAGAACATTTTGAAGGTTTAAAGAAGAAGAGATGGATACTTGACCAATTCCTTTAGAGGCTACTTTAGATCCATTAACTAAAGATATGAGATGAGATGTTTTAGGAAATGAAAGAGAGGAAAATAAAGAGGTATTACCAGACATGTGGTCAGAAGCACCTGAGTCAATAATCCATGGATTTTGACTTTCCACAGATTGCGAAATGCAAGCGGTTGACGAATTTGGTGTTGTAGATGCTTGAGCCAAATTGGTTGATTTCATCCTTAAATATTCTTGATACTCTTCATGAGAGAACTTGAGCTCATCAACTTCAGATTTTGAGGTATTAGCTGCCTTATCAGGAAAGCTGTGCAGAGCAAAACAATTTTCCTTAGTATGTCCCATTCTTTTGCAATGAGAGCACTGAGGACATCCTTTTCCACCACGTCCTCTAGAGCTGTGATTACCTCTTCTACGAGTAGAAATCATGGCGGAAGAATCAGCAAGTTCCTGACTGTTTTTGCTTTTGATAGAAGGAACACGAAGTAGCCTTGTGATTAAACTCTCCGTAGAAGGAACTTTTTCTCCAATTAGAATCTGGTCTCTAACATGATTAAACTCTTGATTCATAGCCCTAAGAATCATTACCATATAGAATTTATCCAGCTTCGTCTTCCTTCTAATGATTCTGCCTCCAGGAACATTTTTAATTCTTCAACAGCTGACTGAGCTTCAGCAACAAAGGACATCATGGAATTATCCTCTTGCTTAAGGGAGCTAGTCTATTAGCAGAATCATAAAGTCGTTGAATATCGTTAGCAAAGATATTTTGAGCCTTTTTCCAAAAAGAATTACATGTCTTGAAGGCTCGAAGAGTGCTCAAAATATGTGGTTCAACAGATTGCCATAATAGTGCACAAAGTTGATAATCCAGTTTCTTCCATTGAGGAGCCTGATCTGCTGGTATAGTACTTCCATCTTCTTCTAGATGATCATGAACTCCTTGACCTAGAAACCAGAGCTCAACAGAGGAAGCCCAAGACAAATAATTTTTTCCATTTAATTTTTCTATGGTTATAGTCGGAGTCCCAGAAAAAGATACAGACACAGGTCCTGACATTTTACAGGAAACACGAAAGAACCAACGTGCTGTCAGAGAGAGGACCGAGAGAGGCAGAGAGAAAAACGCAGATCCACCACATTTTGTGACCGAAAACACAAAACAAAGTGCAGATCTGGCACCAGGGCGACGAGGCGAGCCGAATAGAGGTGGTCTGGAGCAAAACAGCCACCGAGAGGGCGACGCATGAGGCCCACGCGCGGAGGAAGCCACGGACAAGGGTGGCGCGTGGCGGCGCGTGAGGCAGAGATAGAGGAAGCGAACACTGGGGTTGGGTCGCGCTCCTCGAGGCGAGCCAAACCCAAGTGTCAGAGAGGAAAAAGGCGTCGGAGAAGACAACACCGGCGGCGAACGGCGGCGGACGGCGGTGAATGGCGATTAATGCCAGAAAAAAAACAGAGACAGGCAGAGCGGGTTCATCCCGCTCTGATACCAACTTGAAATAGAAAAAAGAAAATAAAGAACTGATTTTGAGAGCCTGCAATCATCTTCTTGTGTTCTCTTATTTATAGGAGATAAAAATACAGATTCAGAGATATAATTAATAGCGAGACATGATTAATCCTAGAGAAGATAAACAGATGCATTCTAGGAACTAGGTCTACAACTAATCTCATAATTGTCCAACAAGATACACTTAATCTAATAAATACTTCAACACACCAAACTCGATAAACTATATATGGTTCTAATTTTGAGAAGTCTGCATTCTGACTTCGATCACACGCGTGATCAAATCCTAGCTGGTGATCATGTTCCATCAATAGATAATCTTGTCACTAGGTTAATTCGGGTTCCTAATCTCATGGTTAATGAGAATTAGGTGGAGACGGTTGAAACCTCTGTTATGGTTGCCCCTCGGGGTCGAGGGGGAGGACGCAACAATCGAGGTGGACGTGGTAGTTTGAAAGTTCTTCCTCAATGCACTTATTGTAAGAGGATGAGACACGCAGGAAAATTGTTATTCCTTGCATGACTTTCTTGATAAGACTGCCTATGCATCTAAATCGGATAAGCCAGATATGAAGATTTCTGATGAGGAGTATCAGGAGTTTTTTAAGTTTAAATCTGGAAAGTTTAACAGTCAGAGTCAATTCTCTTCAATGTCAAGTGTTTCAATTGCATGCATTTCTCAATCTGTGGAACATCAGAATCCATGAATTCTTGATTCAGGTGCCTCTAATCATATATTTGGTAATAGTTCATCGTTTTTTTTCATGTCCTATCCTAAAATTCCTCACTTAATCACTGTAGTTAATGGATCCAAAGTGAAATCTCAAGGTGTTGGCCAAGTTCCTAAAATTCATCTCTCTAAGTCAACTTACCCATTCTTTGAATTGTTTTGTACCCTTCCAATTCTTTTGTTATTCAGGAACATGGTACAGGTCGCCTGATTGGAGAAGGACATGAATCACGTGGTCTGTACTATCTAAAACCAAGTCCTTCGATGTCTTGTTTGGTTTCTCTTGCCCCTAAACTTTTATATGATCGTCCGGGTCACCTAAGTCTATCTAAGTTGAAAGTGATGACTCCTAATCTTCAACATCTTTGGGTTTTAGAGTGTGAATCTTGTCAATTAGGAAAACATGTTAGGTATACTTTTCCTAAACAGTCTGAAACTCGATGTAATTTTCCTTTTTCAAATATTCATTCTGAAGTTTAGGGACCAAGTCGTGTTTTTTCTTTTGACTTTTGGTATTTTGTGACCTTTATTGTTGAATTTTCTAGATGTATTTGAGTTTAGTTGATGAAAGATAGATCTAAACTTTTGTCCATTTTTGTGTCCTTTTTCAATGAAATTAAAAATCAATTTGGGAAAATAATTTAAGTTCTCTTAAGTGATAATGCCAAAGAATATTTCTTTGCCTCCTTTTCTTTTTTTTTCTTCCCAATAAATTTTACATCAATCAATTTGTCCTTACACCTCACAGCAAAATGGCATTGCAAAAAGAAAAAATAGACACCTTATTGAGACTACACGTTCTTTAATTTTGAATGTTAATGTTCCTATTCATTATTGGGGAGATGCAGTTTTCACTGCTTGTTTTTTGATTAATCGGATGTCATCTTCCTCTCTTAAAAATCAAATTTCACATTTTCTTATTTTCCCAGATGATCCTCTTTTTCATGTATCTCCTCGTGTATTTGGTTGTACTTGTTTTGTTCACAATGTATCTCCAGGTCTTGATAAACTAAGTGCTAAGGCCATGAAATGTTTTCTTGGGGTACTTTTGCCTTCAGAAAGGGTATAAATGTTATTTCCATCTTCCAAAAGGTATTATATGTCTGTTGAAGAAGGATTCTTGGGGTACTTTGAAGAAGGATTGCTTCGATACTCTGCAACAAGTGTTTTGTTGGAAAAAAATATTCCGATGCCGGGAATTGAACCCGGGTCTCCTGGGTGAAAGCCAGATATCCTAACCACTGGACGACAACGGATTTTTATTTGAAAGGGTTACAAAATATTATATATTCTTTAACAATTGCCAATAATTTTATCTTGTACATGTTGATCGTGTTAAAAACGTACTCAGATATGGCAAGATACTACTATGCTTTTGTATACAACAATATGCATATTATTGCATGGTTTTCAACTTTATTGTTGACCTTCTAATTTGGAAATATTGGGTGCTCTTGTCACCTATATATAGCCCTTTTCATTTTGATTTTTAAAACCAGAAGATCTTTTCCTCAACAAGCTTTTTCCCATATCTAGTTAATAAGTTGGCTTGCATACTTTCATGCAAACTGATTGATAATGACAATTTTCTATCTCGCTTCTTTGGACGAGCCAATCTAAGTAGGACCAGTGAATTATCAAAATATAAAAGGTGTAAGTGAGAAAGCATTGATTTGAGAAGGAATAATTGTCAAAATAGTAACTAACTGTCTAGCCTCTTCTGCAACATGACTTTTTTCAAGGTGAAAGAGGGATCCATGCAGGACTTGCAAATCTCCAAGTACCCCATGTGAACAATCTTGAACATCATCTGACTCTTTCATGCTCTGTAAGCACTACATTGAGATCTCCTATAACACACTGGGATAAGTTAATATGAGTCATTAAGGAGCTGAGATCCCTTTGTAGGGCTATCCTCTGAGGATGGTGTAGACTACAGCATTTAGGACTCCTAGAGGCACTAAATTCCTGGGAATGAAATAGCATTTAAGGTTGATCTTTCAAACTCAGCTAGATAAATAATACTGGGTGCACTAACCTCCATCTCGACCAAAATTCCTTAAGCCCTGGTTGTAATGTGCCAGTTATGGTTACAGATAAAATAAAGCAGACTGCATGCTTTATCTTGGCAGTTTATATATGTTTTGTTTTAAACTTTTTCATTACTTGTGGTGGTTAAAGATATAATTCTAGTTTCACATGCATATAATGCCATTTTTTTTTCCCTTTTTATAATATCTTGAACGCTTGTTCTGTGTATTTTACAATTTTTTTTTTCAATTGTTCTTAGCTCACCACTGTCTCGAATAAATGTGCTGGTACATGCAACTTGCTTTGCTGATGCATCAAGGTAGCTTCTGAGCTGAACATATTACAGAGATCACATTCCAAGTTGTTATTTTGTATCACCTTTGTTTTATGAAAAACAACCGCATCATCACCATTTTGTTAATGTTTTCCGTTTAATTATCTTTCTTGGTTTCCCCAGCTCATCAGATGCAGCATTAGCATATGTAAAGCTCATTCAACATTTAGCAGTATTTAAGGGATACAAAGGTTAGATTGGTTGCATAAAATTGAATGGAATTCCACCCTCTTTTTTTTCTAAATATTGTATGTGATTCTTTTGCTAATAGTTTGTAAGTTGCCAGAATAACTGTTTATAAAAAGTGAAATGATAAATTCAACTCAGTGGAAATTATTTGCTGTGCAAATTGCCTTTTGTTAGTACAGAGTGGTCTTTTTCTTTCTTCATCATCATGATAGAATGTGCACTATCAGCCATTCAAGTTCATTCTCTTACCCTTTATTCCTCTTATTGTTCCTGACGTCTTCCTTTGTCTCTGTTTGTAGAGGCCTTTTCTGCCCTTAAAATAGCAGAAGAGAAGTTTCTATCTGTCTCAAAATCACAAATCTTACTGCTAAAATTGCAGCTGCTTCATGAGCATGCTTTACATCGGTAAGTGGCCTAGTTCATTCTTTATATTAAGAATAAACATTAGCATCTGAGATTTCAGCACAGTTAATAACTTAGTTGAGCATCATGTAGCGGACAAATAAAGCTAGCCCAAAAATTGTGTGATGAACTTGGTGTTTTGGCATCGCGAGTAACCGGTGTAGATATGGAGCTAAAAACAGAAGCAAGCCTTCGCCATGCTCGTACATTGCTTGCAGCAAATCAATTCCGAGAGGTTTTTCTATTCTTCTATTTACTAAAATTAATCATTTGTAATTGACAGTTTGATTCTTGAATTTATATTGCATATTACCATTGTTCTTTCTTAGAAAACATGGTCATACCCATTAATAACACTATTCTGCTTTAAAATAGTCCTTGTACTATATCAAGCATGCTGTATGCAGTGCCATTATTGTTGTGTATCAAACTAGAAAAAAATGGGTGGAATCCATCAGTTAGTGCTAATAGTAGAACAATTAAAAAGTTTACTGTTTTAACTCTGTACAAGCTATTTTTTAATTTTCATAAAATGGTATTTTAGGCAGCTGTTGTGGCACACTCTCTCTTCTGCATGTGCTACAAATACAATCTTCAAGTTGAGAATGCTTCAGTTCTTCTTTTACTTGCTGAGATTCACAAGGTATGTTATCATATTTTCTGACACACTTGTTAGTGCATGTAGTCTGGATCAACTATTAAGCACATTTTTTTTATGGTAGTAAGTATTGATCAAGCCATTTTTCTTGTTGTTTGCTCTCATTTGGATAACTTATTATATGATGAGTTCTGATTTGGAATTAATACTGATATGATATTGTTGAAAATTAAGGAAATAAATCAGAATCAACAGATTTGATATATGTAAAATAATTAGAATTAATGTGGTCGGACTTATGCTATTAGTAGTAGGATTTGATGTAAAAAGAATCTGTCTTTCTTTCTTTTTAGCTACAGCAGCTATATTTTTTCATGATTTTTAGGTCATATTAGTGTACAGAATTATTATTCTCTTCCTATTTATACTTCTTGATTCTATCGGTTTTGTAACGGTGAATTATATTCACTTTTCAACATTATTTAATTACAAATTGCTGATGAGTTATTTTTATTATAAGAAATTGCTTTAGTTATAATTTACTGCCAAATGACATCTCTGAAATTCATCACAAAATGGAAATTTTGATCATTAATTGTTAAACTACGGGCTAGGCCAGCATCTACAATATGATAAGGAAATGAAGAGCGAAAAAGTTGAAAATGAAAAAAGTACAATGTTTGTGAGAAATTTTAGTAAGCACTAAGCAAACACTAGTGTGGATAGTGTTTCATGTGCTTGTTTGTAAGCACTCATCAGCATCACTCTATTCTGATTTAGCTGTTTAATTAAATTTTCTTTTCTTTTAATGCATGATTTTTTTACTCATCCTAAACTAGTGAGAGAGTACTATAATGTCCCAACCCCAGCTTTCACATTGTTGTGTTCTTTACTGCTTGTTTACGTTAAAGCCTTCGTTATTTGTTTTTACCAGAAATCAGGCAATGCAGTTCTCGGCCTTCCATATGCTTTAGCAAGCCTCTCATTTTGCCTGTCATTTAACTTGGATCTTCTAAAAGCCTCGGCTACTCTTACTCTGGCTGAGCTGTGGCTCTCTCTTGGATCAAGTCATGCAACAAGGGCTCTAAACCTTATCCATGGAGCTTTCCCAATGATTATTGGTCACGGTGGTTTGGAACTCCGCTCGCGTGCCTATATTGTTGAAGCAAAATGCTATCTATGTGATTCAAACTTCAATGGTATGTACCACTAAATTGTTGATGTTAGACTTTGCTCGTCAAGTTTGTTGTCTACATATATGTAAACCATCGCCCTTTTTGCAAGTATTTCAATACCAATAATAGCCCATATCTGATTCTGTAAAAAATAATAGCAATCAAATAGGTGGAAATTGTTCAAGAACCTTGTAACAGAGTCATTGGAAGTTTGGGTTATGATAATGAAGAGTTTTGGAAATTTGAGGAGGAAGATTGGATGCTTGTTGAGAAGAAATTATGTGTATTTAAATTTGAAATATAAGGGATAAAGGATACAATTGTGATATAGTTAGAGAATCAGTGTGACTCTGTCATTGCCTGTTAACTGTAAACAGTAAACACCAGTGTAAAACTGTTATTGGAGAGGATCTGGAATCAAGAGAAGCAGGGTTTCTGTTACATTTTGAATCATTCTCTGGTTGTTTTGGCAGCTAGCTTTGCGTTGGATTCTCTTCATTTCAATTCATCTTTTTAAAACAGAATTTCTCGCCTATGTGTGATGTTCAAAATACCTATATACAATGTTGCATACTCTGCTCATAAGCTTATGGAAGTACCATGTGTTTAGACAATTCTGGTTTTTTCTTTTCTTGAAAAGCTTTTTTAAGTAGGTTATTTTCGTGTTTGTGATTTTTTGTTCTCATAACTCACCCATATTTTCCTCGAGCCCGAAAGTTTAATGGTTTTTCTGTGAGGGGGTTGGTTCCTTCTCCCCCCGTGTTGAAGCTTTAATTGAATTTACTAATTTGAATTTCTTTTTCAGTCTTTGAAGATTATGAGATCGTGATAGATTCACTGAGACAAGCATCTGAAGAACTTCAACTTTTGGAGGTAAACAAACTTTCTGCGCTTTTAATATTGTGTATAATCAGTGTGATGAGAGAAGAAAATGAGTGGTCATTTAAATGAATGTTGTGTCACGATTATGCAACTCATAATAACCCTAATTTGCAATACTTTTACACAATATATTACGTAAGCTTCCAAACATTTTTCATTGGTCATTTTCCGTCTGAGCCTTTTTGCGGCGTTCTGCATCTTAGATACTAGATAAATCTTTACTTGATTGATTTTATGGGGTCTTGGACTCGCAAGATTTATGTTGTTTTGTGATGTTGAGAGCTCACTAGTCACTAGTAGAAGACTCCCTTAGTAAATTTGACTCATTGAACCCATTTTCCTGTATCATCCCATCTTAAACAACTTGCTTCTCAACATCCAAATGTCTTTCGATTGCATTTCTTTTAGGATCTAATTTTCTTGTGCCCTGCAGTTTCATGAACTGGCAGCTGAAGCTTTCTATCTTAAGGCCATGGTATATGACAAACTGGGGCAATTAGATGAAAGGGAAGAAGCTGCAGCTTCATTTCGGAAACATATTTTGGCTATCGGCAATCCTAAGGATGAAGATGATCCTCTTGTTAGTGTGTTTTGATTGTTCTTGAAACCCAATTATATATATATAAGTTAATTAAATTATATACGATAGTGACCACTGATCTTCTGTAATTATCATTCAATAGTTGTTTATAGCTGTAGTGAATTTGTTTCCAATTGGAATATTAGATGCTTAAGGTGAAAACAACCATAACCAAGACGAACGATGCCAATGACCTTGGAGATGTTGTCCCTCGTTCCTTTACAGAGGAAGACACCATTCATGTAAATGAACATACCAATGACTATTGTTATTTTAGTTTATATTAAATTGAATTATTTGTCCTTGTAAAAAGGTAACATATTTCTTAATTTTATTCCCGGGATTAAAAAAATTTCCGCTTAATGAAATGAGACTATTAAAAATAAAAGAATCAGATGGTTAACTGTATTTATGTTTCTTTATAATTATAGGTACAAGTCATTACATAACAAAGAAAAAGTCGTGAGCATTGTAAATAACCAAAGTTTAAGATATTATTTTTTATTTATGATTTTTTTTAAATAAGAATTATAAATTATATTTTAATAAGTTAGTGATGATATGACATAATAAAGACAACAAATTCAATGTCAGGATAAGATTGTGAAAAATGATTCTTTTGTATCTCTTTACATGATGATGTGTTGGTATGATAATTTCTATAAAATATATCTTCCTCTATGAAAATGTGAATATTGTTGGTCTGATAATATTAAGCTAAGATCTCTAGAAAAGTTAAAACTATATTAAAATCTTAACATGTAAAGTTGTTTATAACATTCATAAATTTATAAGATGTGAAGTGTTTCTTTACATTTTTATAGTTCCGTGTTGTAAGGAAGAATTAGTGACATGACATGATACGAAATCTGGAAAGAGTTTACGTTGAATACGAAATCCAGTTTCAAGCTTTGTTAATGATCTCATCTTGTCTGTTTGGTCGCACATGTTTTCCTTCAGATAATATTTTAACACTATTAGCAAATCAAGTTAATTTGAATAAGTGAAAAAAAGTTGACTAAGACCCATTTATTTATTCTTAAATGATGATGACAATGTTTCATGTAATAATAATAATAATAATAATAATAATAATAATAATAATAATAATAATAATAATGAATTATGGAAAAAAATAAACATTGCTTTATTTTTATTTTTTTTAATGTGTGGTTATTTTATAGAATATGGGATAAAAAAGTTGAATACAGTTATTTATTTTGTATCATGTGATAATTTGTCTGAAAGATGGAAGGATAAACTTACTGCAAAAGAAGGTATAAGAATAACGTGTTACTATGATTGTCTCCATGGTAGAGTTTAATATTATTTTTATTTAATTCAATTAAATTTATTTTTTAATTTAATTTAATTACTTACCCACTTGGACTATTAGGTTGATTAAAAGAATCTAAAGTCAAATACTTTCACTAATATTTAATAATTATAAGATAATATTTAAGTATTACATACACAATATTATTTTTATTATAAAATTTAAAATTATCAAGCAAATCATTTTTTTATTATGTTCTAAAAGCCAATTATTTCAAAATCACTAAAATTTATAAGAGTAACTTAGAATTTCTCATTTTAAAATTGGGTTTTGTCACCAACTGAATGTTTTACTGTTATTCAATTTAGTTTTATAAATATGAGAGCTTAGTTATAATTATATTGTAGCATTAATTACTAGAATAAATATATTAAATATAAAAAAAATACTAAAGAAAAAAATAAAATCTTTACGAGACATTTGATAAAAGTTTGAGAATAGTAAATCTTACAAATTATGATTCCTATTAACGTAAAAAAAAATGGTTCGTTGGCAAAAAATAATAATTGAAAATCTTAATGTATTTCTTAAAAAAATGTATGTTTAATACTCAAATAATTTATAATAACTTTTAAAATAGTATTTCATATTTTGAATATTTTTTTCAACATGATGGCAAATAAGTTTCGTAATTATTTAATTATGAATTTTTATTAGTAAAAATAAAAAATTATATTTTTAATAATTTTAAATAATTGTTTTAAAATATTATTGTTTGTTTAGATATTGTTATTTTTGAAACGATTTTGAATTGTGATTTTTTATTAAAATAGAATAGAAATTTGTTTGTAATAAATATTAATATTTATAATTACGTATTCCTAAATGGTTATACTAGTAAAATAATATTCTTTAAACAGCTACTTTTTATGCAATACGAGACATTTCTCAACTAAACCCAATGATACAAAGAAATTGTGATTTTTTTTCCCATTATTTAATGAATGATCAAAGGGTGAAAATGTCATAATGGAGGCCCTTCTCAGCAAACTGAAAACAATATATTTATGTCAAATTGGAAATGATTAGTGAAAATGATAATATTTTTTATTATGCAGATAATAAATTATGTTATTGATTAATTAGATCATAAAAAAGTTGTATATAATGGTTGATTAATGTTAAAAGAATGCAACCTCATTTTTTTCAATAAATACATTAGTTGGACTAGAAAAATGTAAAGATTAATTGGATACAAAAAAATTAATACTTCCTTTAAAAATAAACTAATTCTACAATTTATTTATCTTTAATAATTTAATTTTAACAATAAATTTCACTTTTAAGATATTAAAAAATTATAATAACTTTACAGTTGTGTTTCTCTTTCATCATTTAATTTTTAGTTTAATAATAAATTATCCCTTTAATATTTTTTTTAGTTTTTCCAATCATATTTCCTTTTTATTATTTAATTTTTACTTTAATAATAAAGTTCACAGTAAGATTTTTTATTTTTATTTTGAAGTCTACAATAATGTTTCTCTTTTATCATTTATTTTTTATTTCAATAATAAATCTCACTTGAAGATCTTAATATATTTTTGGAATCTATTACAATCATATTTCTCTTTTTACCATTTAATTTTTACTTTAATGATAAATTTCACTTTAAAATCATAATTAATTTTAATTTTACGATCATATTTCTCTTTCATCATTTAAATTTTCGTTAAATCTTAATTGAAGATCTTAATAATTTCTTTTAAATCTACAATCAGATTTATCTTTTTTTTATTGTTTAACTTTAATAATAAATTTCACTTTAAAACATTGATAATCTTTTAATTTGACGATCAAATTTCTCTTTCATTGTTTAATTTTTCTTTATAAATCTCAGTTTAAGATGTTAATATTTTTTTAAAGTCCACAATCATAAGTTGAAAATGAATGACATTTTAGGATTTTTTTTTATTTTCTAATAATCTTTCCATTTTAAGATTTTTATAATTTTTTCTATAAAAAAAATGAACTTATATGTATATTTTTAATACAGTGTACTGTAGAAGGATAAATTTTATAACTGAAAAAGATATTAAAAGTAAGTACTCATGACACACATGCCAACGGAGATGTCATTCATTAATCACATAATCCTTGTCTGACACCATCTGCATCAAATTGACACATGTCATAAGATAATGGAATTAAGATCCTCTCCATTACAATATTCCTGCAGTCAAAATCGTGCGAGATCTGATCCCTTGATTATCTTTGAGACAACAAACAGGATGAGAGAAGAAAGTAATGAATGGTTGTGATTTTCGTAGAAAGAAAAGCTTGAAAAGGGATGTGTAATATTATGCTGCAGAAAAGCATGTCATCATCACCATACTAATGAAGTGACATTATTCATGGTTTCTTCTGTAATAATAATTAAAAAAGAAAAAGAAAAAGAAAAGTAAAAGTAAAATTATTAGGAGCTACATATCCAGCCACGTTGATTCAATTAATGTTTCTATCTTCATCTTCATCTCTTCCTCCTCCTCCTCCTCCACCACTTTCAGCCATACGCTATCCCCTATCACACTCTTCAACTCCATCACTTTCCACACCCTCCTCCAATCCCGTTTCTCCACGTGTCACACTCCTCAACTTCCACACCCCCTATATAAGACCACTTCAATAACCATCACTCCACAGCCAGATTTGAACACCATGGGTAACCAAACTGATCTTCAATCCGCTTTCAAGCTAGTTGGTTTCCAAAACTTCGTCCGGAAAAACCCCAAATCGGACCGCTTTCAGGTCAACCGTTTCCACCACATCGAGTTCTGGTGCACCGACGCCACCAACTCCTCCTCCCGCTTCTCTTGGGGACTCGGAATGCCAGTTGTTGCCAAATCGGACTTGTCCACCGGAAACCTAATCCATGCCTCCTACCTTCTTCGCTCCGGGGACCTCTCTTTTCTCTTCACCGCTCCTTACTCTCCCTCCATCTCAGCCGGTGCCCCTTCCACCGCCGCCATTCCTACCTTCGATGCCGCCGCCTGCCTCTCCTTCGCCGCCAAGCACGGCCTCGGCGTGCGCGCCATCGCCTTGGAAGTTGCCGACGCGGAAGAAGCCTTCCGCACCAGCGTCGCGCACGGCGCCGAGCCGGTTTCGCCACCGGTGCTCCTCGACGGTCGCACCGGCTTTGCCGAGGTGCACCTATACGGCGACGTCGTGCTCCGCTACGTCAGCTACAAGGACGCGTCGCACGCGTCCGACGCTGATCCCTCGCGGTGGTTCCTGCCGGGATTTGAGGCTTCAGCGGCGTCGTTCCGGGGGCTGGACTACGGGATCCGGCGACTGGACCACGCCGTCGGGAACGTGCCGGAGCTGGCGCCGGTGGTTAAGTACCTGAAAAACTTCACTGGATTCCACGAGTTCGCGGAGTTCACCGCGGAGGACGTGGGAACGAGCGAGAGCGGGTTGAACTCTATAGTTCTGGCGAACAACTCGGAGACGGTGCTGCTGCCGCTGAACGAACCGGTTTACGGAACAAAAAGGAGGAGCCAGATTGAAACGTATCTGGAACACAACGAAGGTGCTGGTGTGCAGCACCTTGCGCTTGTTTCTGAAGACATTTTCACCACTCTGAGGGAAATGAGAAAGCGAAGTTTCGTTGGTGGGTTCGAGTTCATGCCATCTCCTCCTCCAACCTATTATGCCAATCTTCACAAGCGTGCCGGTGACGTGTTGACCGTTGACCAGATTAAGCAGTGTGAGGAGCTTGGGATTCTGGTTGACAGAGACGATCAGGGCACTCTGCTTCAGATTTTCACCAAGCCCGTTGGGGACAGGTTCGTCATTTTCTCCTTACTTTTATTGTTTATGGCTATTTAATTAACAATCTTATGTTGAAGTGAATTTGAAAAACAAATATGGAAGGAAATTTATGGAATTGAAAAAATAGAGAGAGAAGATTGATTTGTTGTTTTGTTAAATGGCAGACCAACTATGTTTATAGAGATAATTGAGAGGGTTGGATGCATGGAGGAGGACGAGGAAGGGAAGGTGTACCAGAAGGGAGCTTGTGGTGGTTTTGGGAAAGGCAACTTTTCTGAGCTTTTCAAGTCCATTGAAGAATATGAGAAGACTCTGTTGGAATCCAGAAGTACTGTGTGACGATGAATCTCTTTTGTATGATCTTCATACTCATAATTAATAAATAATAATATGCACACCATTTCTCTTCAAATGTTACACCTTTTCTTTTCTTTCTTATTTAGCCATCAAAAGTTAATAAAAACCTTTTTAAGTTTAATACATTAAATTTTGAGGACTTTGAAGAAGGATTGCTTCGATACTCTGCAACAAGTGCTTTGTTGGAAAAAAATATTCCGTTGCCGGGAATTGAACCCGGGTCTCCTGGGTGAAAGCCAGATATCCTAACCACTGGACGACAACGGATTTTTATTTGAAAGGGTTACAAAATAATATATATTCTTTAACAATTGCCAATAATTTTATCTTGTACATGTTGATCGTGTTAAAAACGTACTCAGATATGGCAAGATACTACTATGCTTTTGTATACGACAATATGCATATTATTGCATGGTTTTCAACTTTATTGTTGACCTTCTAATTTGGAAATATTGGGTGCTCTTGTCACCTATTTTGATTTTTAAAACCAGAAGATCTTTTCCTCAACAAGCTTTTTCCCATATCTAGTTAATAAGTTGGCTTGCATATTTTCATGCAAACTGATTGATAATGACAATTTTCTATCTCGCTTCTTTGGACGAGCCAATCTAAGTAGGACCAGTCAATTATCAAAATATAAAAGGTGTAAGTGAGAAAGCATTGATTTGAGAAGGAATAATTGTCAAAATAGTAACTAACTGTCTAGCCTCTTCTGCAACATGACTTTTTTCAAGGTGAAAGAGGGATCCATGCAGGACTTGCAAATCTCCAAGTACCCCATGTGAACAATCTTGAACATCATCTGACTCTTTCATGCTCTGTAAGCACTACATTGAGATCTCCTATAACACACTGGGATAAGTTAATATGAGTCATTAAGGAGCTGAGATCCCTTTGTAGGGCTATCCTCTGAGGATGGTGTAGACTACAGCATTTAGGACTCCTAGAGGCACTAAATTCCTGGGAATGAAAAAGTTTTTAAGGTTGATCCTTCAAATAGTTTTCTTCTCACCATTCGTATTCCAACATCATACTCATTCAACATTTTGTCATTAGGCTACAAAATTCTATACCTCTTGTAGCCCTACAATTCCTTCCTTCGACATTGACTCAGAAACAGAAATAATGGATAATACTATTAAAGCCATGTTTGTTCCCGTGTCTCCAGACTAAGATATGAACACTCTCAAGTCACATTGCTTCAATGGAAACCCTTGTCTTTACACTGAAAATATAAGATCATGATCCAATTCCATGTTCCTTTGCTTGTGTAGCCCATTTTGTTGCATGTAAAGCATCAATATCTTGTTCATTTTTCCTTTCTCGTACGCATCTTGTACATTGAATTAGGGTCCGCCATGTTAACTAGTTGTTTATTACACATATCAGACGCTAGCATAAATAGGGATCATTTATGTCTTAATGAAACAAAGAAAAAGAAAAACGGTATTTGTAGTGAATATAAAAAGAGAAACATATTTTCACAGCCCATTTTAAATAAATAACTAACGGATAATCACAAAACAAGAGAGTAAGAGATAAAAAAAATTGCAAAATGTAAAGATAAATATTTCATTATTGTTAATTAATAGAACAAGTTTTCAAATGGTTTTATTTTTATATTAAATTATCTATATATTAATACTTTGAAAAAGTATTGCCAACGTTACTGTTTATGTTTAGGATAAGAATAATTTTTTAATATCTAACTTTTTTATTAGGTAATCCTTTTCATGCGGTATAAAGGGTTTTCCATGATTATTTTGATCTTTAATCACCGACCGTGAATTAATTTTTGGATTGTTCTGGCTATGATTTGTGATAAGCGCGTCCCGATTTTCTCCTTTCGGTTTTTGTCACCAGCTTTGTACTAATTCCTTTTCCTAATCTATAACCAATAAGAATTTTTTCTTTTCCACAGATACTCAATTTTTCTATTTTTATTCATTTTTAACTATTTTTCATTCAAATATGATTGACTTTTATATTGAATAAATCTATTTTTTTTATTTTTTATTCAAGAAAAAATTATATATAAATCCTTGAAATACAAATGACATATAAAAATCTCTCTCTCTCTCTCTCTCTCTCTCTCATATATATATATATATATATATATTATGAAAAATAAAAAAATGATTTATTAGTTAATCAAATATCCGAAACCTAGAGAACTTCTAACACAAGAGACTATCAATTCTAATATTGACAATTCTAATATCACAATTAAATATTTTTTTAAAAGGTTAATAATAAGAAAATTTTCAATAATGAAACACGAATTAAATATATAAAAATATATAACATTATTTTCATCTTAAAATTTTAAAATAATAAATTATGATCTTTTTCGTTTATAAATTATTCGTCATTCTCATTTTTATCAATACGAAATTATAAATTAAATTCTCCTCTTAGAAAAAATCAATTATTAAACATTGAAATAAAATGTGGGAAAGTGAAATTTGATCTCTTAAAAAGAAAATTTTAGATTCAAATTACCTCTTGAAGAAAAGTTTTATTCAAAGCTTCTAGATGGAAAAATTGTGATTAGAGAAAAAGACATCCTTAAAATGGTCAATCACATAATTTTTAGAGAGATTAATAAAATCTGTAAATACTTTTTATCCAGAACATTGCAAATAAATATTTAATGCTATCAATTCATTATGTATATATATATATGTAAGGTATCTTTAATTACTTTTGTTCTTGTATATATGCACTTGATGAACATTAAATAACATGACTGGGGCATGCCACTGGGCGCATATATATTGTTTCACAAAATTTGATTGATTTGATGGAACACACAAGATCAAAGAGAAGAGGTGTGTATAAATATAGGGTGTGGGGGGTGAACAGGAGAGTAAAGCAGGGAAGAAATGGAAGCAGTTCGCAAAGGGTACGTTCCAGTGCTTGTGGGGAAAGAGGGAAACATGATGGAGAAGATATGGGTATCCATCAAAGTGATTCAGCATCCCTCCATTGTTGAGTTGCTGGATCAGTCTGCAAAGGAGTTCGGATACCAGCGTCAGGGTCTTCTCAGAATCATGTATGACCCTGACAACTTCAAAGCCTTGATTCGAGAGGCTTCCAAGAATTGCATCTAGCAACTTTTCTGTATTTGGTCTTCTCATATCGACCATTTCTCAGACATGTAAATACAAAAAGCAATAACAATATGACTTCGTTTCTCAGCATTAAAATGTTTCTCAGTCGAAAACAACTAAACACATCTGCTAAAAACAACATAACCATGTTTTCCCGTTTGTTCGGTTCCACTCTTAAAACATATAACTCAATTGCTTGAATATAATACGTGAATCGTCATGAATTTTTCGATATATTAAATTTTTTCACTCTCCTTTTCCTTCTTCTTATTCTTGTCACCAATGGCATGACCACCATGTTGTCGCGCATCTCCTGAACACTGAGGTTTTCTCAAGTCTATTTCTAGATCCAAAATCCAAACTTTCCTCACGACCTGGCTCGAGATCATGAATTGGTGAAGAGTTTGAATACTGGATGCAGATTAGAGTTTCCTCTGCTAACTCCCAAACACAAACCATTCTCTTGATTTTGCCACGAAAAGATTTGAGCACGCGGTTTGCAACGCTTCCAGCCATGTAACGGACGCGAGTGGTGACGTTGTGATATACGCGTAAAAGAAAACAGCTTTGCATTGCGTATTGATGGCATTAATGGGTTGATGGTGTTGTGAATCACATGGAGACAAAGTGCAGCCTGTTACCTGTGTGTGGTGATCGCCGTGGAGGGTCTCTGCTATGCGCGCCATGTGGATGCGCCATGCAGAGACTCGTAGTGTTTGCGACTCTGAAAGTTGAGCAATTGAAGCGAGAGAGAAAGAGTACGCATAAGTGGGGAAAAAAATAATCCAAATTGTTAATTTCAAAATTAATAAGTGTAATGTGACATTAGAGATTTAAATTTAGAAAAAAATGATACTTTTGACAACCCAATTTTATACAACTTTAACAAACAACCCACTTTTAATATTATAATAATAATTTTAACTTGTTTTCATTTTATTTAATCTCTTTCATGATTATTATATTAATAAAATGGGTTGTTTTTTGAGTTGTTTGTTGATAAGGGTGTCAAAATATCATCACCCTTAAATTTAATGGTATTAATGTAATATTTATATATATATCATATATGATTCATTTTAGCCATGTCTTTAAATATTACATCTATATAATTTCTATTATATTAAATGCTTGACATTTTTAAAAAATTATTATTAAATAAAGATTGGAAGTTTTTCATATACTAATATAAATAATAAAAGCATGTTTGACTTTTGAATGTTGTATTAACTAGATACCATAGATTTATTAGATTTAATAAATATTTAACATGGTAAATAAATATATGAATTTTAAATGTTGATAATATATATATATATATATATATATATATGTTAAATCAAAATAATTATAAAAATAATATTAATATCCATTAAAAATGTACTATAATAATATAAAAATTTAATATTCAAACCTACATCAGTTTAAAAATTAAGTATTTTTATTGTTGTTTAAAGAAATTAACTTATAAAATACATATAATACAAAAATTTCAAATATATTTTAGTGTTTCAGTTATGAAAATTAATCTTTTACAATAATCTATTATCAATTCATCTATGAACAAATATTTTAAATGTAACTATATTTTTTAAGGAAATAATTAAAAAAACAAGCCTAAAAGAAAAAAACTTGAGTCAAATATTAATATAATAGTATTTTATATTATCGATAATATATATATATATATATACATATATGTATATATATATATATATATATATTACCTTTAAGTTTGTAAAAAATATAATATATAATTAATTTTAATAATACTATTAAAAATAATGCGTTGGTAAAAAATGTAATATAATTATATGGATTATATAATTCATTTTTTATTAAACAAGTGATTTTTTTCATGATTATTTATTACTCCTTATATAAATTATTCAAGTTTTTATTAAATAATTCAATTTTGTAGATTTTGTTCAACCCTAATTATCATATACACCTTATATAAATTATTTATGTGTATTTATTTTAGATATAATTTGAATAATAAATGATGACATAAAAGTTATGTTATTTGTTTAATATAATAAAATATAGTATTTTTAATGAAATTGAGTTTGGTTTTCTGATAATGTTGGGATGTTGGATTTTGGTTATGCTTGTGATTGGCCTGTTTATGAAGCAGGTATATATATACGAACCTTCAGGAAACGTTCTTTCTTTAAGAATTCACAAAGGTTAGATGTGGAATGAGAGGTTATCAAATATCATCAAATAACCAATTTTAATACCAAACCAACCTAAATCAGAACCTGTTTGATAACCAAAACGTTGTTGGTCAGAAATCCTATTTGCAAATCAAATCTTTGTAAGAAAATTAAAATACCAGTTCTTATATTTGTCTTTTATTATTCACAAATTCCTGACAGCAAAATACAAAGAAAAAAGTTTAATAGAGGATTCCAAAAACCTGCAAAACAGTATAGACTCCTTCAACCAATAAATTACAACTGTACCAAACATAATCTAAGACCTGTACCTAAATCCAAACTCTAAACCCTAATATTGAAACAAAAATTAAGTGACCACTTTTTACAAAATTAGCACATGTTGATATATTCATGAATCACAATATTCAAGTTCAGAGTTTCAAGTTTAGATCAATGTCATCTGATCCTGCTTCACGTCTCCCAGGATTTATGTCCTCTGTGACTCCCTCCGACTCCTTCACTTTTAAGAAATTGTAGAAAGGTTTAGGACGAGGTCCACTCGATTCTGAAGGTTGGTTCGAGTCCAAATTATTCTAAAAGAAAAAGGGAATATTTTCACTAAAACGAAAGAATAAAGAATATTGAAGCTTCAAGAATGGTTTACAATTAACTTACTTGAGTATCTTGGGGAAGCAAAGGTCTACTAAACGGAGGGAATTTGGAGTGGGGCCTCACAGTATTTGTACCCCATTTGGCATACCTAAGAAAGACGCAGAATTTGTTAATGCAGGAAGAAACTAAAACTGGAGAAAGCCAAAGTTTTCTTGATGTTTAAAGGATTATACCTGTAGAACCCCCTGGTGAATTTGGAGTTACTAACACCCTCATGGTCTTCCATGGATGATTGAAGACTTGGAAGAACTTGAGAGTTTGATGGCGGAAGCAGATAATTTTGCCAAGTTGAAGAGGGTTGATTTCCATCCATTGGTTCTGAATCTTTCTTTGCCCTTTTTTCCTCTCTCATCATCATTTCAAGTGCAGGTATTCCAGATCCTCTTCTTGGTTCTCTTTTACCCTTTCGCTGGCTTGAATTATTGCTACTGTGTTGCATGATTCTGTGATTTGTATTATGCACTGTGTATTGCTGTCTGAAGATGTGGATGCTTGTGAATCATCCAACGCAATTTAAATACATTCTTGGGAGAATCAGAATTAGAAAGATTGCATGTATTTATGGAAATATATCACAGTATGTGATTTTAAATTACATTAATTGCAATCCATGCAAAACATTTTTACTCGCAATATGACATGACATGAGGTGTATCAGGCTGCAATTGGAACCACGTTATATATATAGTTATAAATGATACATATACATTATAATAATATAATTTTTTTTTCTATATATATTTTTATAATTTTACTTTGATCACATTATTGTTTTGTTTTGCTAAATCTAACTGTTCTTTTTTTTTCTTTTTCATAATTTATTGTTTTACTTTATAGCAATCATACTTCCCTTACATTCTTTGTCTCATTTCATTCTCAATCACACTGCACTCTTCTCTTTAAATTTCCCTCACATTTATTTATATTTCACAACATATAATTAATTTCAGAAACAAAATATCCTTCAATTTTTTTCCTCAAATAAAATCAATAAATAAAAACAGTAAAAAACTATCATTTCTCTCTCTTCTTCTAACATCCTCAATTACTCTTTCTATATTATTTATGACTCTTAAAAGAAACTCTTTTGCATTATGAAAAAATCATAATAAAAAATGCTTATAACATATATGTATCCCATTTTGTATTTCAACTCATTATTCATTGTATTTTCTTCTCTCTTGATGTTTATAGTTTTTTTTTTCTTTCCACCTTTTAAATATATCTCATATGATTTTTCCACTAATTATATATATGTAATTTATCTAAATAATAATTATTATATATATATATATATATATATATATATATATATATCATATTTTTATCTCTACTTTTATACGTGTTACAAACTCATTTTTTTACTATTCTTACATGATTTTTTATTTCTTTCCTCTTTCTTCAAATAATTAAATAATTTTTTAATTATTTTATTCTCTCTTTTTCTCTCTCCATTATCCTATATTTTGTATTTACTACACATCATATTTTTTTCTCTCTGTTATAAAAAGAAGAATCCTCGGTATAAATATTTTTTTCTTCTCTTTCCTCTTTCTTCAAATACATAAACAATTTTTAAAATTATTTTATTTTACTTTTCTCTATATTATCCTATATTCTTTGTTAATTATATATGATAAATTTTTTCATCTTCAATGACACCAAAACTGTTGAAAAATAATCATATATAATATAAATGTAGATATAAACTAGTGGAAACAACAGTAGTAAAGCATGTGCATATCTATATTTTTATATTATTTAATTTTTTAAAATATTTTTTATTTTATTTTTTAATATATATTACATTTTTCTTTCGTTATGTTTTATTTTATTTTTCTTCTCTATTCTCTTTTTCCAAATATAAAACATTATAATAGCTGTTTATATATATATATATATATATATATATATATATATAAATGGTTAAAAAAAATCCTAAACTAATGCTAGTTTTTTTTTAAAATAATGTCAAAGATGGGATAAAATCTAACCGTAAATCTTCATATAGAGTTAAATATTTTTTTTATTTTTCTATAGAGTATCACACCGTGTAATAAATATTGAATTGAATAAGATAATGAATAGTGATATACTAACATCTAGTAGTAGAATCTATCCTATCAAAATGGGTTCATTAATTTTAAAAAATTGAAATTTAATTATTGGATCAATCGGTTTTAATAATTTTTGTAAAGATTTTTTTTTCAATTCTTTAAAAATACAATATTTCTTAATTTTTTTATTTTATCTTATTTTTATTATTACCAAATTTTAACTTATTTTATATTAGTAAATTTCACAATATTTAACTTATCATTACTATGACGACTTTCATTATCTACTTTTCTTTTCTGTAAAATTTGTCACTAAATATTTCTTTATCTATTTATTATATTATTATAAATTATTATTTTGTTTAAATTGATCAAATTTTAACTGTTATTTAAATCTAAATTCATTTTCTTACGTAAAAACATTCTCATAATATATTATATTATATTTAAAAGGAAAACTAATATATATATATATATATATATATATATATATATATATATATATAAGAAGGTTGTTTGTGTATTTTTTTCTATAATAATGTTAAAAAATTCAGTTGAATTATTACAATTTACTGTTTATTATTAATGTGAAAGATAATTGTCAATTGGTTTTATATGTTGTAACTTTAACACGGTATTTTAGTGAAAGTCTAACATCTTTTCGGTTATTATATCTTGGGTCAAAAGTTATCTTTTCATTGGATCAAAAGTAGTATTTGTTTGGTCCGACAAACTTCGTTGGAGGGGGCATATTGGAAGTCCTACGTCGCCTACCTTATTACATTTGATATGGTTTAAATACATGTTAGACTACTTTATATATTGTCAATTAGTTTTATGTTGGAACCTTAACATAACATGAGAGTCAAAATCTAACGTCTTTTCAATTAATATTTTTATTTTCATATATATATATATATATATATATATATATATATATATAATTTTGTTGGATAAAGATTAATGGATTTTTTTATTAATTTACATTAAAAAAAAACTCGGTTAGTATGGTTCTTACCGTCAAAATAATATTAATATTTAATACTTTCAAATAATTATTTTAACAAATATTTATTTTAATTTAAATATAAAGATAACTTAAAAAATACTAATTCCTTTAAAATAATTCCATAAAAATAAGATTTGCAAATCAAATCTTTGTAAATAAATTAAATAATTATATATCTTGCATATACTTATTTAAGATATGAGTTCTTATATTTGTCTTTTAAACAATAACAGAAAAGATCTTGCTAAATCTATCCAATTGGTTGTACAATATACAAGGACAAAAGTTGAGTAGAGGATTCCAAAACCTACTAAAACAGGTTTCTAAGACTCCTTCAGGAATTAAATTATATAAATCTTAACCTACACCCTAACGCTTTAACAATTGAAACAAAAAATTAAATGACCACTCCTACAATATTGAAATTCAGAGTTTCAAGTTCAGATCAATGTCTGCTTCACTTCTCCCAGACTTTGTGGCGTCTGTCACTACCTCCAACTCCTTCACTTCTAAGAAATTATAGAAAGGTATAGGACTTGATCCTGAATGTTGCCATGAATCCCTTTCATTCTATTAAAAAAAAATTAATATTTTCATCTAAAACAATAGAGCAAAGAATATTGAAGTTTTAAGAAGAACTTGCCATTAACTTACTCGAAAAACTTGGTAAGGTTGTACTTTTACCAAGAAAAGATCATCAGGAAGCAAAGGCCTACTAGATGGTGCCAAGTTTGCATGACCATGCATGGCAATGTCAGAATTGTACCTTGTGTCGCCGAGCTCCACAGTTCTATTGGACTCCATTTGGCATTGAGAAAGACAGAATTTGTTAATGCAACAAGAAACTAAAACTGGAGAAGGCCAAGTTTTCTTGGTAATGTTTAAAGGATTGTACCTGTAGTACTCCCTGGTGAAATTGGAGCTACAAACACCTTGATGGTCTTTTATGGATGATTGAAGACTTTGAAGAACTTGAGAGTTTGATGGGGGAAGAAGAGAATTTTGCCATGGTGAAGAGGGTTGATTTCGATCCCTTAGTTTTGACTCTTTCTTAACCCTTTTTCCCACTCTTTTCATCATTTCAAGTGCAGCTATTCCAGGTCCTCTTCTGGGTACTCTTTTACTCTTTCGCTGGCATGAATTATTACCAGCATTCTCAGCAGGGTTAGGAGTATAGTTACTTTGCATGATTTTGTGATATCTATTATGCACTGTCTATTACTGTGTTGAGTTGTGGATGCGCAATTTAAATACATTATTGAGAGACTCAAAATTTAGAAAGATTGCATGTATATCTATGTAAATATATCACCGTATATGATTTTAAATCATGATTCAATTACTATTAGTATTTTTTATATTAAATAAAATCTAATTATAAACATTTTACTACAGTTATGTCTTTTTTATTTAAGTAATAAATCTTAAATAGAAAAAAATAATGAATATTGATATACAAACATCTAATACAAATATCCCTCTTATCAAAATCGACTGATTAGAATTAGGATTTGTCCCAAAATCGTCAATTATTTGTAAAAAATCATAATTCAATTATAAAACCGATATAAAAGGGATACGTTTTTTTTATTATATTCAACTGGTTTTAATAATCTTTTCAAAAATAATAATTAACCTCGTACATTTATTTAATAAGGAAAAAAAGTCTCAGCTAAAAAAATTATATTTATTTTTTAAAAAATTGAGTTTATATTATAAAATACAATACAATTATTTATTTCTTTGTTGTATCATTTTAGTATATATAAAAAAAGAACGTAAGTTATCTTTCAAAATTTTATGTGTGTTTTTGCATGATATTTTTTTAAATTTATTTATATGAAAAAAATTATATTATTATTATTAACTTAATATTTTATTATTTTACTTGATTTCTATGCAGTAATTTAAGAAAAAATAATACAATTCATAACTTTTTTCTTTAATGCTAAGTGACTGTAATAATATCAAAAATTTATACAAAACACGTTTCAAATAATAAAAGTTCATATACCAAAAGAATAATACAATAATACCGTGGTGTGAACCCATATATGTAAAGACTAGTCTTGGACTTAACAAACTCACCAACAAGCGTTCACCTTTATCTTTTACATGTACCAACCACTTCATATAAATATATGTCACACTTCAACTTGAAACCACATCCAATCCAAACCAGTAGAAATATAGACAACAAAATTGTGCATTATTATTATTATTTTTATTTTAATTTATTAAAATTTAATATATATTTATATATATTAATCTAAAAATAAATATTTGTTTTTAAAATTATAAAATATTCACTACTACAAAATATACGTTCAATGTCACTCGTTTAACGTCGGTTAAATGCGAACCGACGTTGAATACACTTTCAACGTCGATTGTTCACCAACCAACATTGAAAGTTGAATTCTGACACATTCTACGTCGTTTTAGCATGCTTGACGTGGAAAGTAGGCTTTCGACGTCGGTTATACCCTCAACCGACATTGAAAACCCTTCTGCAAGGGCTTTCTGATGGTATAAAAAAAAAGGCCAAAAACAAATATAACAACTTGACAAAGAGTAATAATGCAGCGGAAATTCAATCCCCCTTCTTGCGAGAATCAGCGAGGAGCACCAAACAAATAGAATCCAAAGCACAAAGAGACACCAACAATTTTAACGTGGAAAACCCCTCAATGCAAGGGTAAAAACCACGAGTCGTCCAGACCAAAGAAAAATCCACTATGATCAATAATGGGGTACACAAGAGTCTCCAATAATAATACCAAAAGGTATTTTCAATAAGCAGAATTAACTAAGCACAAATGCTTACAAAAGAGAAACAAAGAAGATGAAAAATCTCCAAAACAGGGCTGCTGGTGCGGGACCAATTTCTCCCAATCTAGACCTTCGATTGACGATCCGAACGGTCAGAATGAAGAACCATATGTCTGGAACCTACTATCCAAAAATCAGCTCGATCCAACGGTGAACGACTTCACAGCGACGAAAACACCAGTGCAGATTTAGGGTTATGCGGAGATGACTTTCTCTCTTTCTTTTTCTCTCACTAGACTTTTTGTCTTTTTTCAAATGACTCTCTTGTCCTCTACTAATCTGACCCATCTCATTTTACCCAAATGAGACATAATGGACCACACTATTTGGGCCTATTCTCCACATAGGAAGGGAGCCCAATAACCCAACAAATCTCCCCCTCACGACTATGTGGAGATATCCGCCAAACCGGCGATCTCACAACAAACTTCAAACTTTCCTCTTGGCAATGCCTTGGTCATCATATCAGCACCATTATCATCTGTATGAACTTTAGCTAGTTCCACCAACTTAGCATCCAAAACATCACGTATCCAATGATACCTCACATCAATATGTTTGGATTTAGAATGAAAAGTTGGATTCTTACCAAGATGAATAGTACTTTGACTGTCACAATACAACAAGTATTTATCTTGCACAAAACCAAGCTCCTGCAAGAATTTCTTCACCCATAACAACTCTTTGCATGCTTCAGTAAGTGCAATGAATTCTGCCTCAGTAGTAGACAACGCCACACACTTTTGCAACTTTGATTGCCAAGCCAAAGCTCCCCCTGCAAACTGAATCAAATAGCCTGAAGTGGACTTTCTGGAATCAATGTCTCCAGCCATATCTGAATCTGAGTAACCCACCAAAGTAGGCTTATCACCTCCAAAACAAAGTCTCAAACCTCTAGTACCACGAAGATACCTCAAAATCCATTTCACAGCATTCCAATGCTCTCTACCTGGATTTGACAGAAATCTGCTAACTGTACCAACAGCGTGTGCAATATCAGGCCTTGTACATACCATTGCATACATCAAACTACCCACCGCAGAAGCATAAGGAACTTTTCTCATAGCTATCTTCTCAACTTCATTTGAAGGACTTTGTTTAACACTCAACTTAAAATGAGTAGCAAGAGGAGTACTTACAACCTTAGCATTCTCCATTTGGAATCTTTGCAACACCTTCTGAATGTAGTGCTCCTGTGATAGCCAAAGTTTCTTCTCTTTTCTATCACGAGTGATACTTATACCAAGAATCTTCTTAGCAGCTCCCATGTCTTTCATGGCAAATGACTTGCCCAGTTGCTTCTTCAACCTGTCAATTTTGGAAACATCTTTTCCAACAATAAGCATGTCATCAACATATAACAACAGGATAATGAAATCATTCTCAGAAAATTTCCTGACAAAAACACAATGGTCAGAAGTAGTCTTCTTGTAGCCTTGCTCACACATAACAGACTCAAACTTCTTATACCACTGCCTTGGAGCTTGCTTCAAACCATATAGGCTTTTTCGTAGCCTACACACATAGTCTTCCTTGCCTTCAACAAGAAAACCATCCAGGTTGCTTCATGTAAATCTCTTCCTCCAAATCACCATGAAGGAAGGTCTGTCTTCACATCCATCTCGCTCAACTTCCAAATCAAGAGTAGCAGACTAAACTTAACACAGTTCGGATAGATGTCATCCTCACCACAGGTGAGAAAATCTCATTGAAGTCAACACCCTTTCTTTGTCTAAAGCCTTTCACCACTAATCTGGCTTTATATCCGGTAGATGTAGAATTGCTCTCTTGCTTCACCCCGAAGATCCACCTGTTCTCTAAGGCTCTCTTACCCTTAGGCAACTTCACCAAGTCATAAGTGTGATTATCATGCAGCGATTTCATCTCATCCTGCATTGCATCCAACCACTTTTGCTTTTCTTCACTTTCAACGACCTCCTCATAACATTCAGGTTCTCCTTCATCGATCAACATCACATACTCATTGGTAGAGTACTTCTTAGAAGGTTGTCTTGGCCTGTCGGATCTTCTAGGTTGAGTTTCGGGTAGCTCGGGTATATCACCAAGACTCTCATCATGTGATACATCATGTTCCTCTTCATCAACATTATCAATAGGAACATCCAAGCTATCTTCAACCTGTTGATTATCGGTATCACCATGTTGTTCATCATCATGAGCATCAATATCCAAATCATTAATAGACAACCGAATTGGATCAACATCATCCACATTACCATTTCCTTTAGGTGTAGACTTCTTCTCCTTATCAATATCTTCAATGGTTTGATCTTCCATGAATTGCACATCACGACTTCTAACAACTTTCTTTTCAACGGGGTCATACAACTTGTAGCCAAATTCATCCTGACCAAAACCAATAAAGATGCATTGCCTTGTCTTCATATCCAACTTGGATCTTTCATCCTTCGAACATGAACAAATGCTTTACAACCGAAGACACGTAAATGATCATAAGTAACATTCTTGCCAAACCAAATCTTGTCCGGCACCTCAGAGTTCAAAGCAACTGCAGGACTTAGATTAATAACATGCACTGCTGTAAACAATGCCTCACCCCGAAATGCTTAGGCAATTTTGCTTCGAAAGCATACACCTAACTCTTTCAATCAATGTCCTGTTCATCCTCTCCGCTAAACCATTCAGCTGAGGAGTTTTAGGAGGAGTCTTCTCATGTGCAATACCATATTGTCTACAATAAGCATCAAATGGTCCACAATACTCACCACCATTGTCAGGTACGAATGCGTTTCAGCTTCTTGCTCGATCGCCTCTCAACCAAAACATGGAATTCTTTAAACTTGTCCAACACTTGGTCCTTTCTCTGTAGTACATAAACCCAAAGCTTCCTGGAACAATCATCAATAAAGGTAACAAAGTAAAGTGCACCACTAAAAGACTTTACCTTCAATGGGCCACAAACATCGGAATGCACCAATTCAAGCAACTCGACTTCCTGGAGGGAGGATGCTTCTTGAAGGATACTCTGGTTTGTTTACCAGCCATGCAATGAGAACATTTCTCCAAATCTACATTCTTCAATCTTGAGAGAACATCCTTTTTAAATAAGCGGTTAAGCCCCTTTTCACCGATGTGCCCAAGCCTTCGTGCCACAAAGATGACTCCATATACACGGAATTCACACTATCTTTAGCAACCAAAGCTTTTGTCCAAGTAAAGCTTAGAGTTTTTCTCCCCTTTAGCCACAATCAAGTTACCTTTGGTGAGCTTCCACTTTCCAGAACCAAAATGGTTATAATATCCACCATCATCAAGTACCTGCACAGAGATCAAGTTAAAGCGAACATCCGGAGCATGTTTAACTCCTCTAAGCA